CTTCCATCATCTCCAACATTAGTTCTATCCTCGCTTTCTGTGGATGCGAAATTACCAGTACTACCTGCCAGGTTTAATACCTTCTTTTGATGACTGATATGACGCTTGACCAGCGCAGTTTGAGTATTATTATTGTCTGTGACGTAACATTTATTAAATATACGGAATACGGAAACCCAATTTGTGAAAGTACGTTCCACTTGCTTATTCCATATCCCTTCGTATTCTTTCCTTATTTTCTCTTCTATATCAGCGTTCTGTTCTTTCAGTATTCTTTTTCTGGAAGTGACTTCTTCTGTCTCTCTTTCCTGTTGGTTTCTCGATTCTTCAAGTCTAGCTTGTTTAAAATCTCGAAATTTATCAGTATTATAATTCACTCTCCAATTTCTATGAATATCATAATACCAATTTGTATCATTAATTAATAAATTTTTGAAGAATAATTGACAACGATCATGAAGGTCTAATTTCCCCAATACAGAACTTAATGAATGATGATTAAATATCTGTTCATATATACCAGAAGACAGTTCATCTATTTCTCGTAAATCATTATATTCTGTAGATAACTTTAAATATGCAGGATCCGCTGTATAATCTTCAACTGTTACATCTTCAGGGTTTGTGGCGAATGCATTTTGTCGTTGAATGTCGTGTACTGGTTGTTGCGAATTAGGAAGAAGATGAATATATCCTGCTTTCAGGATGAAATATACAATGACTAATAACCATATTGTTATTGGAATGAAGATTAATCTAAATCTTTTGCGAACGGGGTTGATCTTAAATGGAAAATTGTCGACGGAGAAGATCATAGGGAATTGATGGTGGAAGATTTCTAGTGAAGTTGATTTAAAGGATTAAATGATATAAAAATCTAAGGTATAAATAAGTTTTTAAATAAAATGTTAACAGACGGAGTATATGTCCAGGGCGGTGTTGGGTTTTAACATGGCTGAGCGAATAAGATCAAGAGCAAAAAGAGATTATAGGCTTAGTATTATAACACACGTTGAGTAAATAAAAAAGATCGACGTGAAATTTTTTAATTCTTTATTTTTGGTCAATTATTTTCTTATGTACGTATGCAGGTTTTATTGTTCCAATTGGTTTCTTTTTCCAATGTCTTTCTGTTCAATTACGTATGACTATAAATATAGTTCAAATCTGAAACATGTCCCTTGCAAGCATTTTTTATTTACATTTTATGATTGCTAACAACCAATGAATATATTACGCGAATCAGTAAAAGCCACGAGTTTCAAACTTATAACGAAATCCGCCCCTGATTTATTTTTCTTTCCCTGGAGAGTTAGCCTCCTATATGAAAAGGACCACAAAAGTGTATGACGTTAAACTCTCAGGTTAATTAAGATTCTTACTGTTGTGGATTCCAAAACTAGCATCACTCCAATCTAATAAAGTCATACGCATATTGTCTACAAACGAATTTCGGAATATTTAAACTTGGAAAAATACTCCGGAGAGATTTCTGAAATGGACAGAAACGTAAATAGTCCTCGGTGGGACTTCCGGAAAAATAACAATACTCAACGGTTAACTTTGTGTCCATGATGTATATTTCACTTTCCAATCAAAAACATCTCTCTTTGATAACCTCATCGCAGAAGCAGTCCAGGTTCTAGTTATAATAGTACGGATCTTGTAACTTCACTTGATATTTTATTTTTGACAGTTTTTGACTGCGCGCGAATGATTTCACAATCTCAATTCCATTGCTTGGTATTGAACACAAGAACAATAAAACGGTTAGTATTCGAAGGGTTTATAAAGTCGAGTCGTACAGACGAGGGTTAGATTAATGGGAAATTATAACCGAAGTAGGCTACACGTCTGAAGAGATCTTTGGGCCAGCCATTCATTATCTCACGAGACCCTCACTAAGTCAAGACGTTAGATTTTACATGGTAGGCAATGGCTTGGCAAGAGGCTAATTTTATTTGATATCAGAGTAGAGCAACAGCAGAAAGAATGCCTTCTGTTTCAACTGTTGCAAAAAAAAGCATTCTCCTAAATAATTTATTAAAAACAATGCAAGCATGACTAAAACTAAAACTATTCTAATCCCACCCAAATATCTCCATAATAGGTAAACAAATCCTTCTCCCAATCTTCAAACTCAACCAAAAGCCCATCCAAAGAATTATTAGTGTCATCATTAGTCGTCCCCCCAATACTAGAATATCCGCACCACATATATCCTTTACAATACCCCCCGTCCATTAACCAACCGTAATCAGGCTCATCTTGATTATTTGGATGATCTCTACCATCAAACGCAGGCACGACCGCATGATTAATTCTTAACGGGGATTCATATAGTTTCTCTAATTCAAAAGCTTGTGTGATCGATTTAAGCAATCTACCAATTTGGACTTCGTGTTCATAATCAATTTCATGAGCACTATGACAGAATCTAAATCCGGAATTTATCCACGCTAAAGTATGATTGTCATTATCGATATGTCCTGGGTGGGGAGAACATATCTCAACTGATCGATGGGAGGATCCATCTGGTCGATGTCTTTCTTCGGGGTGAGGGGTGACTAATCCGATAGAAGCGGCGTGGTTGTTGTTGAATTCGAATGATTCGTCTCCGGCAATGACAAACCCTAACCAAAAGAGTTCTTTATCACCTAGAACTCTATCACGTAAGTAATCGATTTGATTTAATTGAAGGATCATGAGTAGGGCAGTAAAATGTGTGTCTCGGTTGATGACAACGACTCCTGATTCTTGTAGGTGATATAATCCATTTTTGAATGTGTTTAATGAAAGGGTGTGGTTGGTTATAAGTGGCATATTAAACATCACTGAGTCTACTAAACTTGGAGATAATTTCTTGAATAAATCCAATTGATCTTTTCCTCTTCCATCATAACCGGTTCTATCTTTGTAGAAATAAGCTCCCGATTGTTTATATCCTGCGATATCGAAGAAATATTCTGGATTCTGTAATAAGACAGTATCATCATCCATTAAGATAAATTCATTAAATGAATTAAATAAAGTAGCCAAGAATTTACTATACCATGTTTGAAATTTATCTCTATAATTAACATGAATTGCATTTGCAACATTGACAAACCAAATATCTTGCTTTGGTAATCCATGAGTCTTATAATCACTTGGGAAATGCTTTGCTACTTTTTTGAATGATTGAGGTAATACAACAAAATCCTCTCTGGCTGCATTTATCAATTGTTGTTTACCTGATTTTGATAAGTTATCATAGATGATTTGTATAGGTAATTGATTATTCAAAGCTCTCAACAAAGAAATCAATCTAATTGTAGTATCAATATGTGATTCCGGAATAGTCAAAACAATCCCCTTCCCATTACACGAGTTTTGGAATTGTTTAAGGAAAGATGATTTTGAATACTTTCTCTTTTGGATATGTTTTGGTCTAGTCATATCTGGAGGATGATAATATATATCACCTGTCCAATGTTCATAGGTTGGGTTTTCAAAAGATAGCCAAGGATATACTCTAGATTCCAAGACTGAGTCAACATCAAATGCATGTAATTTTTCTAATTCTGTATGTGAAAACCCATCGGGATATTGGATTTGTTTCCTTTGGGTATTTATAAACTTGTTGGTTTGTTTGATTTGAGTTTGATCATCATTACTGATATAACATTTATTAAATATCCTAACTGCAGCCAAATGATCAATCAAATGTTGTTCAATAATTGATGTTTTATAATCTTCATATTTGCCCAAAAGATAGTTTTGAAATTCAGATTCATAACTTTCATCTCCTTCTTCATGTTTGAATTCTTTCTTTAATTTTTCAAGATATTTTTCTTTAAAGTGATCAAATTGACCATCTTCAAATAATTTATCCCAATTGTTTGGTGTGAAATGCCAATTCTGATCTTGAGTCACTAAACTCTTGAAATATATCACACATCTTTCATCAAAGTTTAAATTCCCAATTATAGATGATACACTATGTTCCGAAAAAACTTTAGTATAAATACTTGAAGGTTGATCTGGTATGTCCCTCACATCTATATTTTGTGAGAATAAATAAGTCATAAGTGGGTCCAGTGTATAATTACTTTTTGTTTCTTCATGTTCTTCTTGTTCTACTGTAGCAGGGACATATCCCTGACTGTCATTATTATTATAATTACTATAAGAATCATATACTGATTGTTTTATAGATTCAATTGAATCATTCCATACATAATAAACAATTGTAAAGAACCAAAATATTGTAGCCACTACTATCACTTTATTTAGTTTTCGTTTAACGAGTATTGTGCCATACATAGTGGTAAATATTTGGCTGCGAAATATTACACTTGAAAGCAATTGGGGAAAAAAAAAAGTAAAAAGGGATGGACTTTGATTATTTAAATAAATAAAAAAACCTGCCCCAAGGCAATAAAGACAATGTACAAAACAATAGAATGACATGATACGAATGATGAAGTCTTAGTAAATAATTCACTAAACTATAACCACAAAAAGAATTTAAGAAAAAGACTAAAATGTAAAAATGAATAGCCTCGTTTGTGTTATTTCAGTTTATTTTTAACTCATTACTTTTATTTTAAATAATAATTTTTTCCCTTACGAAAAGGCGGATACATCTAAACATTTTAAATGATAACAATTAAACTGTAAAAATAAAGATATCCTGAATCAAAGAAGAGAGAGACATTAACCAGATAATACGGATCGGTCGTCAATTGTACTGGGGTTTGGCGCTGGTATTTTATTGATTATATTGATACTTATTTGCCAAGGATTTATGGTCATAAACGTCTCTTAATACATTTTCACCTACATATAAAAATTGTCTAGAACAAGACATGCATATGCAAAAATTTTACGACAAAGATTTCAATATTTTTTATGTATAATATAACCCGCCACAATTAGCCCCCACAACTAAATATTTATTATTTTAATTATCCATCATCTCTTAGAACAATGATCGTAAATTTCAACTTCTTTGTTTCAAGGTTATTGTTTTTTTTTTTTTTTACATAAAAGGCGTACGTTAAAGTACCCTACAATATAAAAAAGGCTAATTATGTAAATTTTAATTTGTTCGACGTACATGAAACTCTCAATTCCTTTGTTTTAAATTTCTTGTCACCCGTTTTCAAAGAACTATCAGATCAGATAATTGTCCCACTTTGTGCATAATGATGGGTCTTAATTTGGAAATCCATTTTGCTCATAAGCCGGAAATGTGTACGTCATCTTACAAGCATATATTGTCTGAGGAGGAGGAGATGAATGAATCCATTGTAGCCGGCAACCTAAAATTATGTCAAAGATCTGGGGGGTGACGGCTTAGGCATATCTTATCTAACATTCATCTCTGTCTCATCCCCTAATTCCCTTACCTTTATATGTTTAATCAATTGGTTTTATATACTCTGTACTGTACTTTGCCTGAGTTTGTGTCGTACATGAAACACTTGGGAGGGTCAAAACAGAGGTCAGTAACTAATAGTCACATAGCCAGGATTGTTTATTACACGATTTGTTTTTTCCATAGTCTTGTACATTGGATACCCGTCATAATAACTGTGGCGACCATTGCAAATACGACTAGACACGTCACTCTACATCTTAATCTTTATGAAACATAAAAATAATTCAGTGTAATCATCTACAAGGGGCGATTGGTGTCCGCCCACAATCACCCTTTCAGGCATCTCCCATAAGCCTTGTTAATTAGCAGTGGCCACCACAATTGAAATCCCATAGCAATTATCTCTCTTTCCCAAAAATTTACAAAGTTCGTTAATTCTCTACTTATGCCCCTATTTATATACAATTTTTTTATAATCCGTCAATCCCAACCCAAACATCTCCCAAATAATTAAACAAATCTTGTTCCCTTTTACTAAAATTTATTACTTTACCTCGTAATTCATTCTTCCCTTCTCCATCTTCCATTCTCCCACCAACAGTACTATAAGCACAAAACATATATCCCGAACAATACAGTTCCATTGCCCATCCACTCGTCGGTTCACCATCAATATTCTCATGACTGTCAACACTTGGATCAAGTGGAGGTATAATAGCATTGGAAATCCGTAATGGAGATTCATAAAATGTTTTAAACGATTGAATATCATTCAAGAATTCAAGTCTTGTTTTCTTGTTGACTTCAGATTCATAATCAATCTTAGCTGCTTGATGACAGTATCTGAATCCGGAATTGATCCATAATAAACTATGACCATCTTCGGCATTTATGTGCCCTGGGTGGGGTGAACATATTTCTTGGGATTTGTAGGCGTGGCCCGATGGTTTGTGTCTATTTTCCGTGAATTGACCAATTGAACCTGCAAATAGGTCATTGAAGGAATATGATTCATCTCCATTCAAGACTAATCCTAACCAAAACAATTCCTTATCTCCATAGACTATCCCAGTCACGGGAGATAAAAACGTTACTTGAATCATTAATAAAATCGAATTGAAATGAATATCTCGATTCAACAAAACCAATCCTGATTCCATATAATGATTAATTCCTTGGAAAAATTCTCGATGTAAGGTATGATTAGTTATAACTGGAATATCAAACATTATAGTATCCACAATCGAGGGACTTAATTTCTTGAAAAGAATTGAATCTCCCATACTTCGTCTATTGATTGAAATCCCACGATCTTTAAAGAAAAATGCTCCCGTTGATTTATATCCCAATAAGTCAAAGAAATATTCCGGGGGTTGTAACATGATGGTATCGGCATCGATTAATATGAATTCTTGGAAGGAATTGAAGAGGGTGGCCAATAATTTATTCGAAAATCCAGTGAATTGATCTCGATATGAATCATGAATGGCGGGTTTGATATTCACAAACCATATTTCTTGTTTTAGTGGACCTCCATTGCGGTATTCCAATATTGATCGAATTTTAGGAAATGATTTAGGGTATTTGGTGACTTTATCTCGTGCTGCTTTAATCAAACGTAATTTATTCTCAGGTGCTATATCTCCATTATAGATTATTTGGATCGGAAGTTTATTATTCAATGCACGTAATAATCTTATTAAACTAATCGTATCTTCAACATGCTTATTTGCAATTGATAAAGTAATCCCCTTCCCATGACATGCATTTTTGAAATTCTTTAAGAAGGTATGTTTATTGTTGTACTTCTTGGTCATTTGATCTACAATAAATCCATCCCATCGTTCATATATTGGTGATTGGAAAGACAACCACGGATAAATCAATCTTTCAGCTGTCTTTGGATCAAACGATCGACCCACATCTACAGACAGTAGTTTCACTTTTGGGATCTTTGATTTCTGGTGTTTGAGAACCTGTTTAATGCGTTTAGTTTGAGTTTTATTATCATTAGTTATATAACATTTATTAAAAATCCTCAGTGAAGCTAAGAAATCAACCATAGATTCTTCAATCGCCAACTTCTTCTTGGATCTATATTTACTCTTTGCATATTCCTTGAACTCCTCCTCATCCCCATCCAGTCCTCTAAATTTCTTTCTTAATTCAATCTCATTTTCTCGAATATATTCTTCAATTTCTTGATCTGTAGTTTCGAAATTTAAGTTTGTATCCCAGTTTGACATATTTCGGAAAAATAACTTACATCTCTTATCAAAATCAAGAGACAATATCGAATTCACATCTCGATTCTTGAACATGTCATTATAATGAGTTGAAGCTTTGTCAATACCTCGAATATCAGGAATCTCTTTTTGGAGGGAAATCATGGTATCATGATATTTGAAATAAACTTCATTTCCATCTAGGGGAATATCATTTTGGATAGAGGATATAAAACCTCTATTATTATGAAAACTGAATAATATGAACAACCCACATATTGCACAAACTATGTATATGAACTTAAGTCTAGGTCCTCGGGGGAGATATGGCGATTTCATTGGAGGATGGTTATGAAGTTGTTCCCAGATGACTCGAGTGGCTTAGAAAGGTATTCGTATATCTTTTGCTCAATGGATGTTTCTATCTTCTTTAAGTCTAAGTTTTTGATCGACACCGCCTCGCGTAGTTCTGAAGTTTTCCATTTCAAATGCCCATTCCCATTGTTCTTTGTTGTCTATTGTTTTGTGATTTTGTGATTATTATTTTTAGGTAGCCTGTCTTAAATTATTCACAAGACATAAGAACATTTTTAACACATTAAAACATCATTAGACTAACGACCGAGCCCACCCCCCGGCTTATTAAACATGGCTTAGATACCATGGGGCAAGTTGGATTCTTACGAATGAAATTCAAATCTCGTCAATCTTCAATAGACCTCTTTTTTGTGGTGCTACCAATCACTACAAAAATTGCGCTTTTGCAATGACGCCTATTGAAAATATCAAAGAATGTGTAAAGCTCAAGTGACCTACATCAGTTCTTTCTTTTGAAATGTTTAAACTACATGGTAGGAGAGCATAGACATTGCTCTTGATTTTTGGAAACAAACACAATTTGAAACCAGAATTCACATAGTGTTTCAACCCCTTCTCTCGTCTGCATTACATTTTTAAAGACTTTTCAAGATATATTGCAACCAATGATTCTAGAGATATAAACCAAATTAGAATATTCTTAACAATAAGTTAATAAACAAATATATAATCAAAAAAAATCCAAACTAAAAATCCTAACTAAAACGAATCAAAATTCCAGAAAAAATACCAAATAAATAACACAACCTAACCTAAAAAAAAAAGCCCAAAGTAGTTTACAACCCTTTAATAAGAGTCATCAAATCATGATCCTCCCCCAATAACTCCTCAACATCAGCCAACGCATTCTCACTAAACAACCCCGACTTAGTCGGTCTAAACCCCTCAGCTACCGCTTCGATAATACTAGCCCTCCTTCTCTTCAATTTCGATTCCGCATCCTTCGATCTCGATTTCTTAATCCCGCCACTCCCACCACTACTTGAAAATCTCCTCGAATTCGATCCATTGAACGGTTGTGCCACCTCATGGTGTATCAATGGATGATGATTGTTGTTATTATTGGTGGTGTTTTGGAGTAGGATTGATTTATTCCTGAATGCCCCTAATGGAACTACTGGTTTTCGTTTTTGGAAATCGCGCCAGATTCGAACATCATTTTCATCGTCATCGTCGAGTTCACTAATATTCAACAATTCATCAAGTCCTAATGCGTCATCGATCCCCGATGGGGTGGAAGGTCTTTGTGGATGTTGTGATTGTTGGAGGAGGAGTTTCTTATTTGGAGTGATGGCGTTAGTGGTTGGATTGGTGGTTGGTACGGCAGTGCGAGGTTCATTTGATTTATTGGTGAGGTTTAAACTCCTAGTCAGCATTCCATCAATGATTCCAAATGGTTTGCTATCAATCGTGACCCAAGATCCAAGTACTGGAGGTCTATAATCGGCGGTTTTGGACGATAAGACTTCTTTAGCCATCTTGGACCCCACTTGACTATTTGATGATGATTTAGGGAGGGACTCATCAACATCGGTTGATTCTCCACTATCATATCCTTCATCATCTTCATCATCTATTTCATCTTCTTCCATGTCCAGATAATCGATATTATTTTCTTTGATGATTTTTTTAGATTTGAAAGTTTTATCATTATCAATTTCCTTAAAGAGTTCTTGAAGATTGGTATGATCATCATCATCAAGTTCAATATCACTTGAACTTGAATTATTATCCGAACTAAAGAAATAATTCCAAAGATATGAATCATCATCTTCATCACTATTAGATACTGGTTGTTTCTTCTTATTCAACTTCTTATGACTTGAGGAAGCAATAATTGATCGTTTGGCAACTATATGTTGTTCATCATCATCGGATCTATCAAATAAAGGCACATCAAAATCAATAAAATCATCTTCATCTTCATCTTCTTGATCTTCATCCTCATCTTCATCTGCATCTACACTACTTTCATATTGAATAATTGGTTTACTTCGATCTTCTCCGATACCCTTAAATGAATTAATTAATCTTCGATTAGAACTATCACTATCGAAAGTAATATTAAATTCATCATCACCATCCTCATCAAATCCATTATTTTCAAATTCATTAACTAAGAATTTTTCTTCCTCCTTTAAGAATTCCTCTTCATCATCATCTCCAATACTCGAAACAACAGAATTACTTCTCGATAGACTATTAAATCGATTATTATTGGGTTGATCAGCAGAATTGACAAATTCATCAATATCATTCTCAGCTTGTAAAGTAGCTAATAATTCATTATCATCAATTTCATAATCTTCATCAGAATTAATTTCTTCTTCATTTATTTTCGGAACTTGAATTAATTGATTATCAAAATCGAAATCAAAATTATTATTTAGGTTTGATGATGCATCATCAGTTGGGATGATTGGGGTATAATCGACTTCTTCTCCAATATCTTCTTCTTCAAGTTGTGGTTCCGGGATTGATGAATCTCCTTCAATGTCGGAAGAACTATCAAATCCTTTTCCAGTATCACCAAACTCAAATGTGAAATTTATATCTTCGGGTAAGACTGCATCAGAACGTCTGGCACCAAATTTAAATGAACTTTTCCTATGAGCTTTCTTGGAGAATTTCTCTTCTTCAATCGATTGTTCATCATCATCATCTTCTTCTTCAGAAGATGAATGAATAGCTTGATCATGGTTATCGGATGAATTTTTCTTTAATCCCTTTAAGGCACGAACTGCCTTCATTGATTTTGCTTTACGCTCAGCTTGTAATTTAACAAAATCAACTTCTGAATCATCATCTGAAGATGAATATGCTTCTGAATCTTCTTCTTCCTCATCGTCATCTTCTTCTTCCTCTCCATCTACTCGGGTACTCTTTCTACGTTTATGCATCATTGAATAAAGATTATCAAGACTATGATCTACCGCCTCCTCGTCATCATCCTCTTCTTCATCATCCTCGTCTTCTCCATCTCCTTGTTGACTATGAAGAAGATCTTCATCGGAATATTCATCTTCAATCGAATCCTGATATGCACTCCAATCAACCGTTTTCTTCGGTGTTCTCTTCTTTGAATAACTATTCGAGTGTTTCAATTTCTTCCCAATTGTTTTTCTACCATTTTTATTAGAACCATATAAGATTGATTTTTCAAATTGTTTTGAATATTTATCTTCATCATTTTCAGATACTGCTGATAATTCCGATTCTGAACCTGAAGAATCTATAGTATACATTTTATGACCCACGGCAGCATATTTCCGGTCTGAATCGGATGAAGATGAAGATGAGGTTGAATCAGCTATACTAAACCGGCGTAGTTTTGTACTGTTGTTATTGAAATTATGATGTTGATATGATTTTAGATTTTTACCTGCATACGAAGATGGAGGTGCGGAAGATGATGTTTTCTTTGGTGGTGATACAATAGTTGTAGTTGTTGTTGATTTATAATTTTTAGAGGGACTTGATATTCCCTTTTTCGGACTTTTAGCCATAGCGTTCTAAGTTTCTATTATGTTTTTATAAATAACTTTGAATGTGTGAAGTTTATATCTTTCTTATCTATTTTTTTTATGATTTTTAAAATAACCGTTTTTTTTTATCCCTTTTATTTAGATGAATAATAAAAAATGTAACCAAAATAACTTTGTATGATTTCTTGTTATTACTCCTAAGTTGTAAGTAATGTCTGTCTGCCTGTCTGTATCTGTCTGTGTTTATGTCTGTCTTTACTTATTTATAAAATCGATAAATTTGAATATGAATGTTAATAATAAATTTCGATATTTATAATTCATAATATACTTTTGTAAAATGTTATGTATTGGGGGATTTGTAAAAAAGTAAAGTTAAGTAAGTATATGAAATTCTTAGCTTACTTTTAATCAAATAATTGATTTGTACTTCTTTCTCTCTTCTTCAGTTGAGTTGAATTGATTAATGCTTTTCAAAAGTGGTTTTAAAGTTTGAAGTAAAGGGATTAAGTTTTAAGTAACAAAATAGTATCAAACTAAATATCGTGTGAATTGAAAAAAAGTGTACTTGTAGTATGAAATGGGTGCTAACTATTATATATTTATATATTTAAATATAGTGTGAGTTCTTACCAGAAACAATAATAAGAATAAAATAAGGGGGATGGGTTATTATAAATTGTGGTGGTTGTAAAAAAACTTATTGATTGATTGGATGTTCTCCTCTTCTTTAATTAAATGAAAAAAATTTTCTCGTTTCATGTTTTGTAGTGCTTTCCCCCCCTCCTTAACATTTGTGAACTATTTTTTTACGATGAGCATTTTGTTAGTACAGTTAGTTGTAATCGAAAAATTATTACAATTAAGGAAATTTTATCAACAAAACTCACACCAGAAAAAATACTTCTAGACTGTTATACCACAGTGTAACTGTGGCTTTACTCAATAGACTTCAATAGATACAACTATGGATATATATGTAACATCTTTTTTTTGCAACCACTATTATATATATTTATACATAATTCTGTGCAACACATCCATTACTAATTTCAGATGAGACGACATATCCCCACCTCCCCCTCCCCCACTCTATTTCAGTCATAAGACTCATAACAAAACATCCACTATTTTTAGTCTCTAGTACATAACTATTTCATATTACAATACAACATGAAACACAGCCATCTTATCAAAAGTAATTACTAATATCTATTAAGTAAACTATCTTACTAATATACAAAAGAAGCAGAAAAACAATACCAATTCAACCTTCTCTCTTTCTAAATCAAAAATTTCAACTTTTTCTCTTTCTCTCTCTTCACTTCACCCCACTTAATACTTCTTGTCACTTTCAGCACTAGCAGTTAATCTTGCACTTAACTCAATTTGATCTTTAAGTGCTTTAGTTAAAAATTCAATCATAATAACATCTTGATCATGATTACAGAATAATTCTTTTAATTCTTCAACATTATTTAATAATTTTGGTTTATTTAATACTGTATTACTTAATAATCTCAATAAATCAATATCTTGAGGATTTGATTCAATATATGCCAACAATTGACTAATATTATCATTCACTTGATTCAATTGTTGAGTTAAATATGATAAATCATTATTCAACCCTTGTTGTTGTTGTAAATTCTTAAAGGCAATCTTTTCAGTAATTGATCCATTTATCACTTCATTAGGAATAGGAGTGAAAATATATGAATTAATAACATTAGCAGTCTTCCATCCAATTGGTTGACCAGTACTACTTGGTTTACCAACAGCCCCACCAATATAAGTTTCAATTTCAGGTACTTTAACTTCACTAGTTTCAGTTAAAAACTTAACATTTAAATGAATAGCAGGAAATGGGAAAGCACGATCACTTCCTTTGGAATAAAAATCATGAATTAAACTAGTAGTATAATCAATTTCATTATTACTACCAAACCATCCTAAAACAGTTTCTTTTGGATGGGATCGTTTATATAATTGAAATAAAGTTTTATGAATTTGATCTTCAATAACAATAGAATCTCCAGTTTCATTACATGGAACCATAAAACAATCTCTAATCTCAAATTCATTGCCATCATCGGATCTAATCCCTAATAAACTACCAATAATTCTTTTGTTATTGGACAAGACTTGTTTAGATACAATTTCTAACATTTGTAATAAGGCAGATGCATGGATTCTAACTTTGGATGGACCAGTTGAAGAACCTGCTGCTGGTGCTGCAACATTTGGTCTCACTAAATGCATAAAATCAGTCATTCTTTCTATACTGCTGTTTTCAATATATTGGAAAGTGTGTTTGTAAAGATTTTCGATGAACTTTGAAGAAGAATGAAAAATTATGAGTGTGGAAGAGCCCAAAAAAAAAATTTTTCTCTTCAAGTTTCATTATATACAGGAAAATCTTTTTGGGTTGCAAAAAAAAAACTAGTCAACCCTTAATGCTTTACCTCCATGAATCAAGACACTATGATCCGAGCACGATTTGGATTAGGTCAAACCGTGTCTGCATAGTTCAGAGTCGTTAATGGTCGTATAAATTTGAATGTAATGTTTTATTTGAGTTGTTTTCTACTTTTATTCAGAATCTCAAGTTTCATAGGATATTTTGATTTTAAAATGGAGATTTATAAAGGTCAATAGATTACAATAATTCAATCTAATGGTTGAGGGTTTGTTTACAGTATCATTTCTAACGGAAGGACTGATTAGTAAGCTTTAATTAAACCATTAAATTATTTGTATTCCTCGCTTGAGGGATGTGTTTCTATTGGATAGATTAATCAAAACCTCTTTTTTTTTTGGCTGCCAATTTTTGTTTTTGGCAACCAATTTCTTTTTGGCAACCAATTTAAAAAGTTCATATAAATTGATTTCAATTTCAACCCACATCCATCAGTTGATAAAATCTTATAAAATGAGAAGAGTTCTTCTCTGGAGAATCAGGAAATATCCAATAAGAACAACAAGCTGCTTCAACTACCTGAAATTAACAATCAATTCAAGAAAAAGTCTTTGGTTGCCAATTCCCATAATTCTCAACAAAATCATTCCAATCAACGATATAGAATTCAATCTCTATTGTTCAAACTGGAAAAAGAAAGCAACCATATCTTTCTCAACGGGATTGAAAACGATTTGCTTACTTTCTTTTTCCATTTTGAATAATAACTTGCGATTCTGTCACGTTGATTATGAAAACCCAGTCAAACTCCCTCCAAATTGGATCATCATTTCCATGATCTTTCTTTTGATGGTTTTGCTATTTCATGATGGAATATGGTGATGGTTGTCATTTCCAAGTTTTACTACTTGAATATATTAATGGTGGTCAGTATAGCTAAAACTGTGGTACTCATTGTAGTGCCCCGGTAATCCCAAACCTAGATTAAGTCAACCCCATTCTTCCTTTGGAATCAATTGAAAAGTTTGACAACGTTGGGGTTTTCTGGGGGATTACAATAAGTCCTAACGTTGAGTTGATATGTGAAACTTTCTTTACTAACAACCGGCTAGCTATTGGCTAATTCGGGTTGGAAAATTAATTCAGTCCATGATATCCAAGTTAAATTCTTTCCAAATTGTATCGTAGCCATCGTTGGTATACTGGAGTTCTTTAATTGGATGAGTTTTTTTATTTTATGATCCAATGCATTTATGGTTGACAGCTTGATCTAAAAATATGATGACGCACGGAGCAAGGTAAAAGGAAAGCTTCGATATTGGGATTCCTCGTTTTGGCATTTTCGCTGGGAACAAGTTTCTAAAATAGTGTTGGGGAAGTCTAACGAATCGGTAGTACTTATTGTAAGCCCCCAGATAACCCAAACCTAGATTAAGTCAAACCATTCTTCCTTTGAAATCGGTTGAAAAGTGCGACTACGTTGGGGTTATCTAGGTGCTTACAATGGGTACTAACATTACTCCCTTACTTACGAAACTCAATTCAAACCGAACCAGCCTCCTCAGGAATCTCAAAATCAAGTTCAAAGCATCAGTTAATCCTCCATTATCTTAACTGTGTCCATCGTTGACCATATTTTTAAATCAAAGTGTCCATCATTATATTGGATGATAAAATTGAAAAACTATCCTAAAAAATTCCACTTAAATCAAGAATTGGCTACGGTACAGCTCAGGGTGAGTTTGACGGGATCTCAAGGAGCAAGTTTATTCTTCATACTAAAATTAGCCACCTCAAACCTGAGCATCAGCATTGATACTCTCAACAAATTCCATCAAAATACTAAATGAAAGACTCCACCCCACCATGGATATTCTCCCATCACCGCTATTTCCTTCGTCGCCAACATTAAAATCCTGGTTCAAATCTACATCGCTAACATCCAAATCCAAATTTTCAATCTCCACCATCATTGCTATTCTTCCACTACCATCATCAAAGCCTCAATTCAAATTTCCACGACCAAAATTCAAATTCTTCCACCACCACCACCACCTCCACCACCACCAAGTTCAACTCAAATTTGAATTAGATTTCGATGTAGCCTTGAAAGAATACCAGCTTCAACTCAAATCTGATATCCTTTCCCAGCTACATCAAAAAGTAATTCAAATCTCCACCATCAACAAAATTGAAATCCACATCCAATTGTTAATCCCTCTCTTCATCAACATTCCAATCTAGATCAAGTCAAACCTTATTCCAGTGAAATCAGATAAAAAAATCCACAAAAAAATTAGTCATTGGTCAGGTGGCTAATTCAGCATTGAATAATTACACTGATCCATGAAATATAGTAAAAACTTTTTCCAAATTCTATTGCCAACAATTATTCATCTCAATTTGCAACTCTTTCCAAATTCTATCAACACGATTAAAATCCCCATCAAATTATCCGGAAAGGTTTCATCACCACAATTTGAATCCTATTAAATTATTCCCAGTTGTTTCATCACCATCATTGAAATCTATAAACCCAATACCTCCAATAAATCCCCATCAAATTTTGAATCCCCCTCTTCATCATAATTCCAATCTAGATCAAGTCAAACCTTCTTCCAATGAAATCAGATAAAAATTCCATCACACACAAACTAACCATTGGTCAGGTAGCTAATTCAGTATGAAAGGATTTACACCCATCCATTTAAATCCAGCTGAACTCTTTCCAAATTGTCTATGATCGCCAAGTTTTCATCTCCATCTGAAACTTTTTTGTGGTTTCATGTTTTAATTAATGGTTGAAACTTTGATTTAAGAATAATGATTAATGAAATATGAGGCAGATTAAAAGATAAGGAAGTATTGATAATTAACTTCAATGAGGTACTAGTGGAATGAATTGTGATGTAGGAATAGTAGTATTGGAATGTTGATTGCCGTTGGAAGAAGTTTCAATTTTGTTTCTGTGGTTTAATTTCATTTGTGTCTTATTTTCCACTAAGTGGTCTCATTTCCTTCCAACAACTTAACACGAAGGATTGTGATTTGATTATTCAGGGGCACAACTGCCTTTGCTGGATTGATTAGATTAAAAAATTTGTTGATTAAGTATATATTATTGAATTGGTAGATTTCTTTGTGAACAATAAAGAATAAAAGAATGATTTGCATTTAGATGATTTTTTCGCAATCTGGCGTCTAAATTTGTGTTGCAAATTTTCCTATTGATTCTGGAACAACACAAAAAAGCTAAAGAATCTAGACCATCCATACACCAACATAGAGCAATTCTACCCGCAATTATTAAGCACATAGAGATTAACGATATTTAAAAATGGAGAATCTCTCTTAATAGATTTCTCTTTATGATGATATGAAATAATAATCACTAAATTCAATATAAGAAATTCATTCCCTGTGGGAAAGATGAAACTTTTAGATTTATATTATTAATGTAGCTAATCTGATATGTCTCAGACTTCCAGATTTTATAACTTTCATTCCCTACATCCAATTCAAAGATGAACATTAAACTGCCAACGTTTAGAGAAATTCCATACTTTTTAGCAAATTGTCAATATTTATTTCATTTGTTATTTGGCGCATCAACGGTGTCCGAAGTCAAACTTAAATGAAATACGTCAATCCCATACAAGAGTAAACTCCAGTCTCTAAACTGGGGTCTAGGTTGTCTCCTCAACTATATTGAATACAAGTACGCTATCTCTACTATCAACAAATTCGATTCTTTCTCAAATCTTTGCAACCATTGATTTGATTCCCTCATCAAACCTCGTTTTTTTGATCATTTACACGACCGATGGTTTATCAAAAATGTTCTAAAGGTACCAACAATTACATCACTACAAACCACTCAAAATAACCCAACCATCTTCTTTCTAATAATGACATCCAACGGAACCCCCAACATGCTTACCACACCAACAGTTCCACCCAACAAATCAATATCACCACAACAAACACCCACCTCAAGTAGTCCCCCAACCAAAAAAATGCGATCCACATCACCAGTCCATTCTCATCCCCATCGACAAACCACCCCATCCCTCCAAGATCAAACATGGCTCTTCACTGAAGATGCAGTCCTCAACCACTCCCCTACCAGATTACAAAAACTAACCATCCCACAAGAACTAAAACTCAAAGAATCAATTCATGATTTCTTAATCCACCTCGGACATAAATTAAAACTCGACGGTGCCACAATCCTAACCACCACAATCTATCTCCATCGATTCTTCATGCGAACCCTGATCACATCATCGAAATATTGGGTTGCATGTGCTGCAATTGTCATATCTTGTAAAATCAACGATTGTTATCGTCCGCCAGATAAAGTGGCTCTAATCGGGTGTAATTTGAAAAATCCGGGTCGTGGAGTGGTGATTGATGAACAGAATGAGATGTTTTGGAGGTGGAGGGATCAGTTGTTGTATAGGGAGGAATTGATGTTGAGGTTGTTGAATTTTGATTTGAATGTGGAATTACCATATTTGATTCGGGATGGGTTGAGTAAATCGAAAGACGAGGGACTGGGGGAAGACCAAGAAGAGGAGCAGGTGTTTGAGACGAAGAAACGTGATATTTTGAAGAATGCGACTACGTTGATTGAAGTATTGAGTTCATTGCCGATGTTGATTGTATATGAGATGAAAACTTTATTTGCAACTTGTTTGATAATAATCGTAATAGAAGCCAGAGGGAAAATGGATCGACCAGATTTGGAATTACCTAAAAGATACCTTGTGGATGAATTAGATGTTGATTTGGCCTCGGTTAGTGCTTGTTTCCAATTCTTGAAGAAATTGTTAAAGTATAGTCAACAAGATCCACAAGCTATAAGTAATAAAGCGGCAGCTAAAAGGATATTGTGTATTCTGACAAGTACATTTGAAGAGATAATCAAATCGCAAGAGGCAGAATAGGTGGTTGTTAGTAGGAATAGTCTGGTCGTGAAGTAGAGTCTTCAAGCACAGTTTTCTAATTTTATAGAGGTATACTACATTTAAAGAGCATAAATGAATAAAGATTACTTAGAGTCTCTCGGTATTACTTCAAACCAAACCTAACATCGAATTTTATAACGTCGCACGCCCCATGTACTCATATTAATAAGTGTTCCATAGATAACGGGAAATCCTGCACCTAACAGAAATTAGATAGATCGCCATGTGCGGAACAAAAATGGAACTCAAATTTCACCGATGTGTAATATCACCTCGTCTATCTCTTTCTAATTACGCATCTCACAAACAAGTATATATCATGGACACTGAAGAGCATAGACGTAGACAAGCCGAAGTTGCACTACTAGAAATTTTCCAACGAGGTCATTTGCGTGAATATTTTGAAGATTTAAGTCTTGACGAACAATTACAAGAATTAGATCGGTTGGAACGGACCCTTAGACAAAATGGAATCCTACTACCATCAAACTACAACAACAGCAACATCACAGAAAGAAGAGGACCATTTTATATCGTGTGGTTATTTGATCATATACCTGTTCCTATTGTGAATTTCGTTTTCATTTATCAGAATGTAACCTGGCCAAATATTATCGATTGGATATTTAATACCATGACAGAATTAGTAATGATGATATTAAGAGTGCTTAGATTCACGGCAGTTGTGATTTCAATAACTTTCTATTTCCATAAGGTGATACGAACATTCTTTATCATTTGTGATATTCTTACATTCTCCCAGAATTTCATGAGAGATGCATTTACGTTTGTGGTTCAAGATTATGAATTCTTATTGAAAAGACATGAAATGATATATAAACATAAAGGAGACCATTTATATTTCTTACAATATGAACCTGATCTTTCAAGTTGGAGAATCCTTTTCACGTCAACCATTAATTTACTTTCATCAATGTTAGTTACTGATTGTACCTCCAATGGTGAAGGGAAGTGTGAATTGGTTAAAGATAATTTGATCTTCAAGTTTTCGGAAGTGTTTCTTAAGTATTATCCAAACATTAGCATGTGGTTATTGAAACTCCTAACTATAATTATATTCTTTACATATGCATTAATTGGGGATTTCATCTGTTTGAATATTGTTATGTTGGTCGGTTATAATGTTCATTATAGAATTGAGAAATATAAACAAGTATTTCTGTCATTGAAGAATATTATATGGACTACGATATTTAGGTTAATGATATAAAGAATATAAGGTTATATGCATAGACGTCTATATCCATCCATTGTTCTACACCTCCGGTGGGACAGGGTTTTATTGTTCTTCCGGTTAAGCAATTACGGATAAAAAAAATGTGTGGGGCGGAGATTTTTCTCTTGGTGGAGTAAAATATAAATATCCCGCGTCTACCCTCGATTATAAATTTTTCACTAGCACCCACATTCTTCCTTCATTCCTCTTCTTTTTCTTCTATATCTTCTTCAATTAACCTCAATTGAATCCAAACGCATTCCACCAAGCAACAATGACAACATATCCATCAACAATGAAAGCCGTAGTCTTCTACGGTCCCCATGACATCCGTACCGAATCAAGACCAACCCCCACCATCCAACATCCAACTGATGTTATCCTCAAAGTCAAATATTCCGGTCTTTGCGGAACGGATCTCCATTCATACCGGGGCCATATCAAGGGTCCTGTCAATACTATTATCGGTCATGAATTTGTCGGCACGGTGGTTTCAATTGGACAAGAAATCACCAAGTTTGCAATTGGGGATGATGTTTTGAGTACTTTCACGATCCAATGTGGAACTTGTTGGTATTGTAAACATGGGTATTCCGGACAATGTGATAAAACTAACACATTTGGGAAGATTGGATTAGATGGTGGACAAGCTGAATATGTTAGGATCCCATATGCTGAAAACACCCTAGTTAAAAAACCACCTACTCAACCAAATGAAGATGATTCGATATATGTCCTTATGGCTGATATTTTTGTGACTGGTTATTATGGTGTGAAGAAAATTGTCGATTTTTTGAATCAACCAACTACGAAATCTATGACAACTCAAGATCGTAAACAATGTTCGATTTTACAATTAGGTGCTGGCCCCGTTGGGTTATGTGCTTTGAGAGTATTGAAACATTTCGGATTTGGGAAGATTGTCGTGGTGGATTCCGTGCCTTCTAGATTGGAAGAAGCTGCCAGACTTGGAGCTTATAGAACTATTAATTATGAAACTGAACCTAATGCATTGAAGGAATTCATTACTACTGACCTTGATAATGTTGGATTTGATGCTGTTTTGGAAGTCGTGGGTGCTTCAGCTGCATTGAAGACTGCATATGATTCTGTGCGTAGAAATGGATTTATTTCTTCATTGGGTATGGGACATGAACCATTCCCATTTAATGGGTTAGAATGTTATTTAAAGAATATTAATATTTCTTTTGGAAGATGTCATTCTTGGTCATTGTTTCCTGAAGCTTTGGAAATCTTTGAAACTATGAAACATGATTTTGATTCATTTATTGATTATAAAGCTACTTTAGATGAAAGTAAAGAAGTATTTGAATTATTTGATCAACATAAAGTTAATAAAGTTGTTTTTGATTTGACTGGTAATTAACCCTTTTCTATACTGAATAGTGATCTCTTTAAATGCCTTTTTAGATATTCTCTATATATACATTTATAAGATGTTAATATATTTTTACAATTTGATTCATATAAAATTATTGCTAAATTTGCAGCCATTTAATTTTTCTGGCAAAATTTTTATCAATTTTTAACAAGCAAATTTTATACTACATAAAATGTGTGCTACTTCCAGTATATGTCTATCAGATCAACGACTGAAGACACGAGAATGTGATTCCATATGAAACACGAATGTAATATTGATTTGTGTCCCAAAATTCCAAATATTTTTATCCGGTTTTGTGTGAAATAACACAAAACTCCACAAAGAATGAGACGGCACCGTTCAGAAATTTCGCCTTTATGGCCAAGTTGGTAAGGCACCTCACTAGTAATGAGGAGATCGTCAGTTCGAATCTGGCTGAAGGCATTTTTTTGCTTTTTTAACATCTTGTATAGTTAATAAGGTGTTGGAATGGATCATTATTGACCATTAAACTGTCAATAGATATCCAATAGATTATTATCAAGATGGTCGTGTACAATTGTCCAAAAAAAATTTATAATCGTGCGGCTTTCTCCTTTCCTTTTTTTTTCAAGTGAACGTTCACAGTGCCTCTTCCTCCACTTCTCACTCACAAAGAAATTTTTAAAAAAAACATGGGAAGAATCGGGCCGTATTAAGAAAACGGTTTCCGTTATAATTAACTGAGTTTTTATAGTTGACAACAAAGAAAAGCAGGTAACCAACTAGAACAATGCCTAAGAAGAGAAATGCCATGGAGAGTAAGTTAGACTTCAATATTGGTGGTATGTCTCCCAATGAATCTAATGTTAGAAATAGTCAAATGGGTGGAGGTGTTAATGACCCCCCAAGGCCAAGACCTAATTTACCAAAAGCTACTCCAGGATATTCACCTATTGTAGCTGGTGGGACTCCTGTTGTTGGTCAATACGCGCTTAGTCCATTACGATTCCCACCTCAGTCAACATACTTGCAGCTGGAACCTTTGGTTGTTCAACCACCACAACAACATCAGTCACCACCACAACAACAACAACCACCACTGCCTCAACAACAACAACAACAACTCCCACAACAACAACACACACAACAAGTTTATCAATACCATAGAGAATATCTGCCACCTAAAGCCAGAATGAGAGTTAGTAAAGCTTGTGATAGATGTCGTACTCAAAAAATAAAGTGTTCTGGTACCCATCCATGTACAACCTGTTTAAAACATAAGAAAGAATGTACATTTTCAACCAACTACAATTCAACTAGTAATTCCCATAGTACCGTTGTCCCTGCTGAGTCTGGTGGTAGTGGCAGTCATGTCCAAGGATTTGTTATGGAGACTGGTAATGGTCCAGTAAAGCGTCTTAAGAAAGTATCTACAGTTGAACCATTTGGATTGCCGCAAATGAATAAATCTAATGAAGCTGAATATATCACTCATTTAGAAAATCGAGTTCAATATCTTGAGAATATATTATCTAATAATAGTCATCAAACTTTTCAAGAACCAAAATCAGAAGAACCTGAAAATCCCGAAGTCGATGAAACTTTATTCAGTACTAGTTCTAAATGGAGATTCTCCCGTCGTCATCAAAACTTATTGATTGTTGAATTGTGTAAATCAATGTATTCGAACCTAAGTCCAGAACTGCAAAAGTTAGTTACACTCCCCCGTACTCAATATTTCGGTTGGAATATGAGTGGAGTTAAATATCTAAGTGCCGAAGAATTACCACCCGTACCTGAAATCACCATCGATTCAAAATTCTATATCGACTACTACTTAACCGAAATAAACCCCTTATTTGCCATCATCCATGAAACCGTATTTCGAGAACAATACGAAGCATACAACAAACTAGTCAAGGAACAACTCGATGAAGACGATCAACAGACCAAAACCAACCAAACCCGACTCTTCAGCGCCATCTTATGTCTAATCTATGCCCTTTCCATCCGATTCAGTGAAGTCTCCAAACCCAAGGGACCCAAAATGGAACTCCTCGAACTCGAAGAGAAATTCTTCAAATATGGATATAAAGTAATTTCAATCCTTAGTTTTGAATGGGAATCATTTGAATTAATCCAAAGTTGGCTCTTGATCGGGTTATACCTCCGTATAACCCATCGTCAAACCTCCTGTTCCCATGCCCTTAGTCAAGCTATTGCCATGGTAAAATCAATGGGGTTGGGGTTTGAAGATGAAAACCCCAAATTCCTCGTTTCGACAGCATATGAGAGATTGAAAGCCAAACGGATTTTTTGGTGTGTGTTTACGTTTGATCGAGTATTGGGACTTCAAACTGGTCGATATTGTGGGATTAGGGAGGAGGATTTCACGAGAAGATATCCCACGTATGATTTTAAGAAGGAATCGGATAAAGATGATTGGTTGACTTTACCGGCTTTGGGGATGATTCATGTGGCTAGGGTGTCGAATTTTGTACATACTTCGCCGAATGATAATCCGCATTTAATCAAATATCAACAAATAAATGCAGAATTGGTTACGTTGCATGAATGGTTTAATAATAATGGATTCAGAAATGATTTATTTTTTAATAGATTGGATGAAGGGGTTAAGTCGTTGGTTAAGGCTCAGGTTAAATTACATTATTATGATTTGGTGTTGTGTATTCATGGAAAAGTGTTATTTAATTATATTGGAAGAAGAATCGCTAGTCATGGATTAAAAGTTGAAATGGTTCTTGATTCATGTCATGGGGTTTTGGATGTTCTTGATAAGATCAATAAAGCGGGGTTGCTTTATACTCCATGGTATTCCGTGTTATTGCTTTTGTTTAACATCGGAGTCAGTTCAATTACATTGATAAATGGTGGTGTATTTGTATCTCAAGCTAGAGATATCTTAAAATCCACAATTCGATTCTTTACCGCATTGCGTAAATCACCAATTCGTAACGAGCAAGGGAAATTGATCTTTAGGGAAAGATTCAAAATGGTAAGAGAATGTATGTGGGCATTAAAAATGGCCAATAGAATGCTTACACTTCGATTACAAGAAGATATCAAAGCATTGAATAATATTGGGGTTGATCATGGATCTTCCGATGTCAACAAACAAACATTTACTCAATTGGGCCTCAGTTCCGAAGCTGCAGAAACGTCGACACCAGCAGTTAAAGATGAATTTAACAAAGTGTTTGAAAAGCAATTATATAGAAATGAAGAAGCCATTACCCCAGATCAAAGAGAAGAAGAACCACGGGCTACACCTCAAGAAGATGGGGATACTCCATTAAGTACAACCACATCTGATAATATCAGTAATAGTACTCACGCAGGAGGACTTGCAAGTATTCAATCTGCCGACCCAGCTGATTTTTATGCCACTACTGATGTTGATAATTTGTTGGGTAATTTACAATGGTTTGATCAATGGTTAGGTTATGATTTTTGATGAAAGGCGGGTACACATACCCAGATAAATTTATAGCTAGTAGTACAAATTTGTGTATAGTATGAATGTAAGTGTTTAATCAAACACACACACACATGTGGGTAGTAAAGGACGAATGAGAAAAAGGTAAAATTGCCGCACGTAAATGCCAAGCTTATATTATATCTTCCCGAGAATTCGGTAAGTATAAATCAAATCAGATCCCGGAGTCCGAAGGTGGGCCCGCCCATACTCTGAGAAAGTATCCCCATAGATCTATTGATCCATAGTTTGAATCTTGTAACAAATCTTTGCGAAGTGACAGAATAATTATTGCGAAATTACTTTCCACTAAATGTTCCAACAACATTCGGAATAATTAGGGGGTGGGGGGATAATTCGGAATGATTTTCGTTTATTTATATAATTCGGAAAGATAGGAGAACAAGTAGAAACAAATAGCGAAGGAAGGTCCAAAAGAATGGAATCTTCTATTTAAATAATATTCCCCCAAACTCTCCATATAATGTATTACCCCACGCTAACGTTATTATGGAGAATATTATTGGAAAGTATGGGGGTGTGGGTGGAAAGAATAGAATACTCTAGAATCCCCCACCGTATCTTTGTATTGGCCCCCCAACATTTTTTATATCAAGCCTCCACTTACTTACTAAACAAAGATAAACTTTATTTTTTTTTTTGAGCCGGAAATATGTACGTTTGGGTGTGTTTCCCCATTAGGTATCCCACACGCCGCTAAATAAAAGAAAAAATATTATTATTATTGTAAATGTAGATATTCTGCGAAAGTTCTTCCGGGATAACTAGCGAGATTGCATTTCTCCTATTTACGGAACCGGATAGTCTTCCAGCAAATAAAGGTAAGTATTGCCATCAATATCTATTGGGTAGCAGTACAAAGTAAACCATTATGTGGTAGGGTTATGTTAAGCTTGGCACCATGAGGTTTGGAACACGCGAATCTTACAATTTGAGCTAATTTTTCTTTTCTGTTTTTGGTTTGTCCTTTCTTCCCTCCAGAAAACCCGAAAGACCGCGGTTAAGAAAATAAATTAAAGAATGGAAATACTTCTAGATAAGGAAATGTCATGGAGAGCTATATCTATAATTAGCATATGACCATTTATACAGATAAGGAATAATAATAATAATATAATAGGAGTTGCAATTAACAATTTACAATAGAAGGTTAAACCCTATGGCTTAGTATTGAAAGTACCCCAAGATAGGAGAAATGGGATCGGATGATAATTGTACTTACTTGCATAACCGCAGGCATGTGGCCTGGCCAGCAATGTATTCAAAAGAGACGATTCAAGACGAATTCAAGATTTCATTTAATCGAAATCAGTCCACTCAACTAAGTGATTATAGAAGAAGACATACCAAATTTTTCTGGTCAATAGGGTAAGACTCTCTTAATCAGTTTCTATCTCCCACAGAGAAATTACCGATCTTCGAAATTTTCTTAAGAAAATATTAATTATTCAATTTAATTTAATTTAATTTTTGCGATAACGGTCAAGAAATTATTATTATTATTGTTCTCTCCTCCTTTTCCTCCACACAAGGGAAGCTCGGTGAAATATAACCCTGTTTTTTTGTAATAAGTTACACAAAACCCAAACACCTCTTGCTTTCCGAAATAACCCCCATAAACGGTTTTCTCATTGACACAAAACTGATAATTATAATTTTGTACCATTCTCATCGGAAAAACTTTTTTCATCTTATGTGCAGGATGTTCCACCACAGCCCAAAAAACTTTAAAACTATCACAAGCATACATATTCAAAAAAACATCAGATCATATCAACACACACATCCTAATAAATGTAACGCCCACTTTTATAAGTCTGTGTATCGAATAGGGGCACAAAAGTATATACACTATTAGCTGATGTAGACTATTCTTTTTTTCTTAAATTGAAAGCGTAAACTTGAGATTCGACAAATTTCTTTATTTTTAACGTGGCTTCATGTATTTCCCCCGTGCCATTGTAAATATTTGACAAACTGACCCACCCCCCTTTCCCCCACCTATGGCATGTTTATCATGGGGGGACGCTTACAATAGATCGTCAAGATATAGACAAGAGGGAACGGCTCCTGGAACAACTTATTGAAACTTTAAATTCTATATTTATTCCCATTTAAACGAAAATGTTACACAGTACTGTTGGCTACAATATTTATAAAAAGTGAGCAACTGTGGCATGATGGTTGCATTTTTTTTTACTCATTTTTCGGAAAAACTAAACTGTGGGATTAGCTACACAACTAAAAAATATCCTGAACTGGAAGGTTGAAACAATACGAAAAAAAGAAATTAATTTAACTTTTCCTGTTTATAAGCACGGGGGGGATTCTTTTGTGTCCACACTTATCTGCATATGCACAAATTATTATTTAACCTTCTTCTTTTTTTTGGAGACTTCTAAAAAATATTTTATTCGCTCAAGAAAATAAAATTTTTCCTGTTTTTCCTGTAAAGATATAAAACTACCACCATCCCCCCCACCAAATTTTTTATTCCTTCCGGTTTATCTTCCCCCTTCTTCTCCATAATTTGATTTCATAACTATTTAACTTTTATAACAATGTCAACAATACCTCAGCAGAAGGAAAAGAAGAACAAGGAAGATAGACCTTATAAATGTACTTATTGTGAAAAGGCATTCCATAGATTAGAACATCAAACAAGACATATCCGTACCCATACTGGTGAGAAACCTCATGCTTGTACCTTTCCAGGATGTATCAAAAGATTCAGTCGATCAGATGAATTAACCAGACATTTAAGAATCCATAATAATCCTTCATCAAGAAAGAGAAAGAACAAGTCTGATGAAAATGTCAATGCCGCCGTCGCTGCTACTAGTATGATGATGGGTCAACCGGGTAGTAATGGTCCTGCTATTGCTTATAGTTATGACCCTAATGGAAATAGAATATATCACCAACCATATCCAGTCTACTTTGTAGCACAACCAAATGGATACATGCAACCAGTTGCCGCTCAACCTCAACAAATGGCTCCACCACAACAACAACCCCAAATAATCAGACCACAATCAGTACCTCCACCACAATCTATTCCAATTCCAAGTCATTATAAACAACAAGGATCAGCCATGTTTTCATTGCCAAACTCACCAACCAACAACTTGCCCCAACAACAACAACAACAAACCCCAGCATTCATGCAACAAGGCCAATTTCAACCTACACAAGTTGTTATGTCAAGAACAATTTCCTCAGACGCGTTACGTTTACCTCCATTAAACAATCACTCCCCACCAACTGGTTCAAGACCATACATTATGAAATCAGACTCTGCCACTAGCGTTGCTTCTCATCCAGGAATATTTAGCCAATCAAATTCAACTTCTCACAGTGTTGCTACATCTCCTGATACTAGTGTGTCATATATGAACCATCCACCACCAGCGGCTTCTTTAACAAACTTGAATGAATATTTCCAAAAGACAAGGATCTTTAACGCTAGCTCAAGTTCTTTAAGTTCATTAAGTGGAAAAATACGAACCACATCTTCTTCAACCAATCTTGCTTCATTACACCGCATGACTCCATTGAAAGTTTCAAATTCCCAATCGAAAGTCTTGATTGCACAACAACAATCATCCACTTCATTAAATTTGGAATTTTATCGTGAACCCCAATCCAAGAAATCTAGACCAAATTCCCCTACTATTCCACCTATTGCTTCTTCTATGCAATCTACATTATCCAAGAAATTCATGATTTCTTCCCCAAATGAAACACCACTCCAAACTCCCTCACAATCACCACAGTTGAGACCAGCAACTGTTGGAGGATCTTCTCCAAATTTGATTGATTCTGTTACTCAGAAATTGAATGATAGTATTGCTAATACAGGTACGGTATTGCCTCCAATTAGATCGGTGTTGAGTTTTACTTCATTGAAGGATTTCCCAGCTCCAACCGCTGGAATGGCTAGGAGTCCAGAAGAGAAGAGAACTGCTATGAGTTTAAGAAATTTATTGGGTTAGTTTATGTACAGGTATATTGGGTTTATATAGTTTGTCTTTCTTTAGTTAGTTTTATGGGATTTTTTGTAAGAGTAATAGATTTAATTATTAGAGTAAGACCTTTAAACCACTTTGTTAATTGTAGTAAATGTTTCTAATTCGAAACAATTTTCCGGGATTTCTTTTTTTGAAATTTTGAAACTTCGACGTGGGGGAGGAGATGGAGGGCCCACAACGTCGGAAAAATTATTCAATTTCGATACAACGTTACATTTTCTTGCTTTTTTTTTTCGCAGTATTTTAATTTCTTTTTCATGAATGATTTTTTATTGCAGCAAATCAAACATTAGTGCATAAGGTGAGATGGTGCATTTCCACTTCCACTTGTTCCTGGCACATGTGTATAGATGAGCAAATTTCAAAGTCTAGAAATAGGAGTTATTTCAAGATACCGGAAAAACCCACGCAAGTGTCCTGGTTCTCAACGTGTAACTGACTTTGAAACAATCAATAAAATCCGCCGACAACAATATCTATCAATCTTTTAGTCTTATTGATTAATTTCTTCCAGACATAAAGAAGGTTGTGGAATGATGTTTTGTGTACTGTACATCTAAGTGCAAAGCAGCAGGTTGGACCTTCTGAAACATTTTTCCGCAAAGTCTGGAGAAATTAGAATATTTTTTTTTCCTTTCAAATCACTAAAATTAATAATTTTTCCATGATTTCCCCCACCCCCGCTAGGAAGAATATTACAAATTACTGGGGGATGAGTATAGGCTATTAGACCTCTAGTGTAGAATGTGGGAATCAACACATATGAATATAGTATGGAAGCTTAAACAATAACAAATTTGTTCCGAGTAGTCTTCCGAATCATATAATTTCGCCGAAGAACGGAAAGATATGTACCAACAAGCAAACTGTTTGTTTCCAGTTCTGCAAGTGAATATCTTTTTGACAGGTAGCTATAGTATTGACATAACTTACTACAAGGCTTACATTAGACATAGGAGTATATACATTGTCATGGTTTTACTAGTAGTGTAATGGTTCACAAAACGTTTACATCCCCAAACTTACTTACTTGCCAGCTTTGTACAATTAATCCGCTCCACCGTTAATTACCAGAAATTGTACCTTCTCTGGAGAAATTAATGAAGAACTTTTACCAAGAACAAGCTTCCCGCAGTATCCATTGTAATAATAGAATAGAACCCCAGATATAAGCTAACACAAAAATTAGACTAACGAATAATATTGAATTCTCTATAAATTTAAAGCAAGTGAAAAATTTGTTAAGGCGAAAAATTGATTCCGGTTTTGTGTAACAAAATGGTAGAAGGTTGAAGCGGAGAAATTCGTCATCTTCTTTAAGCTTCTTTTCTTAGATAGTTTTTTCTAATAGAAAGCTACGGTGTCCTTTCACAAAAGCTGTATACACAGGGCAGCAATAGCAATGGTAATGGAACAGAAGGTTGAAGGTTTGTGGAATCTGAATAACCTTCCAAAGCGATTTTGCCAGACATTTGGAGGGTTTACCTACCAAGTATTTTTTCAAGGGGGAAAACTGTTAGCTGGTCAATCAATGTTCCTAAGGATTAGTAAGGGGAAACAGTTAAAGTCACGTATTCACGGACATTTAATTCCTCCCCTCACGCTTAATTAATTTATTGATTATTATTTAAGGGCCCACACAGTAATCGTTAACATCAAAAAAAGAAATCGTGGCGCCCCATTGAAAAATATATGGGGGATCTTGCATAGAGCCATTCTCCCTTCCCATATGATTTTTCGTGGACTGTATGGGTAAGATCTCTCCTTAATCTCAGATTATTATTATTCCATGCATCGCTAATAAAAAAGACAAGACATAAAAAGTATCACGCAAGGCAACCCTCTCTCCTTAAACTCATCAGTTATAGGTCAATTGCAACTTCTTCTCTAAGGTTATCTCAATTAAGATTCTACTACGTTACAGTCTAAACAACAACTTTTCCCTCAACGGTTCGACTATTAAGCGGAAACAAAGTGTGGGTATTTTTATTAATCTTTGTGTTTTATCGGATGGGCCTTACTTGATAAAAATTTTCATTGTTTTCTTTTAAATAACCCGCAACGCAACAACCTCCCTCAAGCATAAAAAATAATTTGGATGAAAAAGAAGTTCCAATCAAACACCCACCCATTTTTTTATCCTTCTCCTCTTGATTACTTCAATTGAAACACTCTTTGAGGTTTATTAGAAAAAAACTATAAATACGGGTCTATTTCTCCTTTTCAATTGAACAATTTTTATATCTTTCTTTTTTCTTCTTATCATTATCAAACATTATATATTAATACAAGAAAAATGGCTACTGTTAAATTATCCTCAGGTCACTTAATGCCTTTAGTTGGTTTCGGTTGTTGGAAAGTCGACAACGCTACCGCTGCTGACCAAATCTACAACGCTATCAAGGCTGGTTACAGATTATTCGACGGTGCTGAAGATTACGGTAATGAAAAGGAAGTCGGTGACGGTTTAAAGAGAGCTTTAGATGAAGGCTTAGTCAAGAGAGAAGAATTATTCATCACCTCTAAGTTATGGAACAACTACCACGACCCAAAGAACGTTGAAACCGCTTTAAACAGAACCTTAGCTGATTTACAATTAGACTATGTTGATTTATTCTTAATCCATTTCCCAATTGCTTTCAAATTCGTTCCATTAGAAGAAAAATACCCACCAGGTTTCTACTGTGGTGACGGTGACAACTTCCACTACGAAAACGTTCCATTATTAGACACTTGGAAGGCTTTAGAAAAATTAGTTGAAGCCGGTAAGATCAAGTCTATTGGTATTTCTAACTTCACCGGTGGTTTAATCTACGATTTATTAAGAGGTGCTACCATCAAGCCAGCTGTTTTACAAGTTGAACACCACCCATACTTACAACAACCAAAGTTAATTGAATTCGTCCAAAAGCAAGGTATTGCCATCACCGCTTACTCTTCTTTCGGTCCTCAATCTTTCTTAGAATTACAACAAAACAGAGCTTTAAACACTCCAACTTTGTTCGAACATGACACCATCAAGTCTATTGCTACCAGATTAAACAGAACCCCAGCTCAAGTCTTATTAAGATGGGCCACCCAAAGAAACATTGCTGTTATTCCAAAGTCTAACAACCCAGGTAGATTAGCTCAAAACTTAGCTGTTACTGACTTCGACTTAACCGAAGCTGATTTCGAAGCCATCTCTACCTTAGACATTAACTTGAGATTCAACGACCCATGGGATTGGGACAACATTCCAATCTTCGTTTAAGTTTGATACTCTCGAAGATTGATTTTATATTAATAGTTTATAGAGTTTTTTGTAAAAACAAAGAGAATTTCAAATTAAAATAACATTATCCTGTAGATGATCATATTTCTTACTTTTTGATATCAACCAATACATGTCAAGCCATGTGTTGGACTCTTGCTTCAAGTCATATTAGTTAACAGACCATCACCAAGCGTTCAGTTTATGATACAGAGTCAAGTTCTTACACTTTCAATTGGCATATACACATGTATTTATAACCTACATACACTATTTAAAAATATTGACGTGGCAAGATCTAAATAGAATCCAACACAGCTTGCCTACCCAATGTCAACAACTTCGTTCTAGAAACAAAATCATCACGTTCCAAATATGCCCCACATAATCTTCTCTTCCCCGTGAACTCACTTCTAGAATGGAATACTCTCCAATTATCAAAAATCAAACATTGGCCCGGCTTCATTTGATGCCATAATTCATTTTCAGGATCACTGATAATACTAACCCAATCTCTAATGGCTTTGAAAAATTTAGGAACATCATTTGGATCGTCCCATGAATCCATAGTAGATCTATCACTTTGGTTCCAACGGACTTGTAATAAATCTCCATTGATATCGAATTTAAATATTGGTTGTGGCACATCTGGTTGAATACATACCTTTTCTTCACCGGCAGAATGGGCAGGTACACGGATCCGACAGAAGATTTCATAACTTTCAGGATGTCTCTCCTTGAGAATTTGGGCACATTTGAAAGCATCTACCAACGAAGTTGTACCTCCGGTCCCATCATGATACAAGAGATGGAATAATTGTAAACCGGGGGTGTTTGACCAATAGGTTCCATCAGTATGAGAACTGATGTCGAAATTAGTATAGGCGGTATCCGCTTTTGCTAAATCGGAAGTAAAATCCCAAAAACCTCCATAATGGGTTGGTCTGATATAATTTAATTTCTCGCATAATTTTTCAGTGTCTTCTGGTGTGACTGGCACATTGTCAACGAGACAAAACCCATGTTTCCAAATCTTTAAAGACCAATCCTTGATTGCTTCTTCATTGTCGTCGGTTGAAGCCATGACGGCATTATAATCGACAACTGGCAAGTTATCCTTCATATCCTTAACTTGCCAGAGTTCTCTTTGTAACAATTCGTCAGCACCCTTGAGCTTGGCCTTAACTGGGACTAAACGCGGTTGATAAGAATGAAGTCTCAACCAATCAAATTCATATTTTGAAACATGACTTTCTTGATCCCATACGATTTCAATTTCATTATTCCCAACTTCAATCTTAGCTGGTTTAATTTCAGGGTCAATTGTAGCGGCACTTGCAAGTTTCTGTTTGGTAGCATTGAAGAAACAATTTTCACAACGACAATAATCACGAAGCCAAATATTATGGAACTTGGATACTTGACCGTCTGACCATTTGATCTCAATTTGGAGGTCGGAAGTAGGTACTGCTGATTTTACTGACATGATTTTTATGTGTTTTTGGTTTATTGAAATAAGGGATTGAAAAAGTTTCGACGGGGATCGACCCATACTTTTATAGTTAATTCGGGGGAGGGGTCCAAACTTATTTTGTGCCCCGCGATAGGCGGGAATTTTTTCCCAATTCGTCACTATTGGGGGAATGTTTCAAGATCTAATTTTAGTGGAACAATCCTATCTCAATTTACAGGACTTCCTCCTCCTAACAGGAGGAAACCGACCCAACATTTCGCAATCAATCATCCGAAGTATGATAGAAGCATCAGGGACTCCCGCAAGTGAAGACTGGCAACTTTTTTGACAAATAGAACCAGGTAGGATAAATTCGAGATTGTTTTGGTTCAAATATGACACTAAAATCACAGATAACGGACGTCGGGGTCTTCTTTTTCCACCTGAGATAGATATATTTTGCTCAAGCGGTATATTCTTTTCAAACACGCATGTATAAGAAGAGACCATATGACTGACTGCGTAGGGAATGAAGTGGCAAGTCAACAAAATTGTGATTAAAACGTGATTCGACAACTTGTTATCTATCTTCTTACACAATACGAGAGTCTGCTATCACAGATCAGGATTTACTACGCTATTTATATCCATCTATATTCCAAAACCAACTACTACCCTAGTGGTTGCCCAGAGTTAACTATAATGTGGGTTGCAAAAAACTTTATTAGTCGTGTACAATGTTCAAAACTTATTATCGCCACCCCTTTTTTTCTTCTTCTGGAAGGTTTTGAAATTTGGGGGGGCAGCAGTAGAAACAGAAAGAACAAAGAAAACAGTTGATAGTTTTTTAAGTTTCATTATTATTTGTATGTTTCTTAGCTTATAAATTTACAAAGTAACATTTGTATCAGAAGATTGTAACTGTTACATTATCAAAGAAAAAACATAACAATTAGACAAACACACATTGGTTGACTGCTATTGACATTTTGCAAGTTCCTTGGTTCAAGACAATACTGCTCATCACTTCAAACTTTTAATTTTAATATTCCCAAAAAAACAAACAACCAAATTGCTATTCCCGGAGTTATCGTTTACAAGGTAGATAATAATAATTGATCGGTTTTAGAGGATCCTACTATTCCCACCCCACAATATTATGTCTACGGTTATTTCAAACACCACACATGCCAGTCCGCTATCGTATCTGCTGCTGCTGCTGCTGCTGCATCCTGATTGGGTCAACATGGATGTTGGTACATTAGGCAAATCCCTCTACAATAGTGAAGAAGCCCCACTTAATGAACAAATCAAACCCTTAAAGATAAAGGCATTAGAAGATGCTCTTAAAAAAAATGAAAATGAGAATTCTGAAAGATCTTTAGAATTCTTAAGTGAATTACTGAGATGTACAGATGGATTAATTAACAATGAATTAAGATCAAAAATATGGCCCATACTTTTAGGAATTAATTCTCCCTCTAGGACAAGCTCCAGTACAAAACTTAATTCATTAGAATCTTCTCAAGCATCATTAGAAGGTTTATTTAATGGTGGCCATAAACTTGGAGGATTTCTGGATCCAGCCCTGTTTTTGGATGATTTGAATTGTGTCGATTTGCCTCAACATAAAGATGAAGATCAAGTGAAATTGGATATTCAAAGATCGTTTACTATATTAAATCACATCCAATCTTTACAACATCATGCTAGTGACTCGTATACTACAATATTCAGCCCAGCTGATGTCAGTAACTTAAAGAAGAAATTGTCAAATTTAATAATTAAGTTATTACGAAGGTATCCAAGCTTAAATTATTATCAGGGGTTTCATGATATTGCAAGTATAGTATTACTTGTTTGCTATACCCCTGAAGAAGATGAAATGGAGGACAAGAATGACAATGAAGCTACTGATTACAACATTAATGAAGATTTAGCGTTTAAGATACTAGAGAAATTGGCTATTTTCCACTTACGTGATTATATGACTAGTGATATAAATTTATCTGTCAATCATCTAAAGCTTATTCCCTTGATATTAGAAAATGTCGATCTTCAATTATTTGAGTTAATAAAACAAACATCCAACTCATATATACAATCGGATGGATTACATTATGATTATAAATTCTTTCAGGGTCTTTCATCAATTTTAACATTTTATTCTCATGATTTAACTAGCCTACCACAAATATTAGCTATATGGGATTTCACTATCAGTTATAATTCAGTTTTACCAAACATGTACATTTATGCATCGGCACTTCTTGTATTTAAGGAAAAGATATTCACCAGTTTACAAATTGACGACGATACAAATTATGAAGATGTGGATCCCGATTTAGTTCACACTGCCATATCTCCAAATCGGTTATTTGAGGAGTTGAGTGATTCAAAATTGCTTGAGATTTTGAATCGTACCAAGACGCTTTTGAATGACTTCCCCATCAATAGATTGACAAATTCTTCAAATACTTGGGCTGTATGGTTTGAAGAATATAACAAGAATTCGGTTTTGCTAACCACTTCAAATTTATATGCCGATAAGAATGATACATTGACAAAGTATCAGGGATTAATAATTGGAACTATATTCGAATCTTTCAAGGCTGGTCCAACAGAATTGTCAGAATTAATACATAAACAAGAACAAGAAATAACGAGACAAATTATTGACGATGCAGCTTTCCAAAGAAAGATATTAGATCAACAAGAAGAATTATCAAATTCAATCTTTACTGAATCTTCCCCTCTGTTATCATCATCATCAGCAACATTACACACGGCGACGTCAACATTACATAAAGTCGCCTCATCCATCTTCTTTAAGAAATTGTTCGCAGAAGAAGTTGATGAAGAGAAAAAGAAACATCATCGTGAATGGTCTTTGACTAAGAATATTTATAAGATAAGTATAACAGTTGGATTTATTGGGTTTGTGATTCACTTCCTATTGATTAAGCATAATTCACATTATCCTAGTATATTATCTAAATTTATCACTATGAATATATTCGGCCCGTTGAAGAGAATAGCTGAATATATAACCAGCAGTGATTCAGTAGCGTTTATAACTCAAGAATTGGGTATTTTGGGAGGGAATTTGATTGATCGCGTCGAAGATTCAGTTAATGATGTATATAGTTTGGTCAAAGATTCAACGTTTGTCAATTCAGGAATGGGTATTGGACAAGTAGGATTAGGGAATTTAAGAAATACGGTTTATGGTTTTCATGGTTAACGTTTTTGGTTTTAATTTGATATTATTTTAATAAAATTTAAAGAGATATTTAGGTTTGGTTCGATTTTTCGTTTACGTTGTTAGTTTATTTATTAAGTAATTTACAAATAATTTATTTATGTACTTTTTGCAGACACTTTTTATAAACCTTCGAAATCAATTTCGTATACTAATACAGAGTCCGTAAATGACCCATGACCCCAACCTCTATTACCACTAGCACTTACCATAAACCTACCAGTTTCATCAACATATAACTGACTCAAAATACCACCTTGATGTCCAGGAATAATCAAGAATGGAGTCGCCTGTTTCTTTGAATTAATCTCCATATTTGATAAATCATCATATAATCTCAAATTATACAATCTTATATTATCATTCGATCCACATAATAAGAAATCACTATTTGGCATGGTTGAAATCGCACTCACCGGTCCAGAAATCTTAGGGAATTGAAGAAGTTTCGATACGTTAGGTATCATCGAATCATGATAATGACCAGAAACAGACCTCTTATGGGGCATTTTAATTGAGATTTCTTCAACTGTCCCATTTCTTCTCCCAGCATAGATGAAATCACCATTGTTAGACCAGGTCAGGGACATACAATAAGGTGGGATTCCTTCGGATATACCCAATCTCAAAACAGGATTGGGGGTTCTTATATCCCATATATTTATTGTTCCATCAATACTCGATGACATGAATATATGATCACTTTTGTAGGTTTTGCTAGAAACTCCAGAGGTTAGATTTGGTTGTTGTGGTTTCTTATCTTGGGTTTCTGCTTGTTTTCTTGGTGCATCTTCTTCTTCGTCATCATCTCCAAATAATGATTCGATATCATCATCTTCGTCTTTTTTGTCTCCCGTGGTAGTAGCCACACCATCAATGTCGTCGTCTTGGAAACTTATCGTCACATCAGAAGTACCTTGTGGACGATATGCGATATTTGAAATCTGCCCAGAACTACCAGCAAACTGAACAGTAGTCTGCCCGGTATTCAAATCCCATTGTCGAATTGTCTTATCCCAAGACCCGGACAAGAATTTATTTTGTTCCTGATTTAATTTCAATACTGATACTGCATCATGATGTCCCCGATTTTTGTTCATCTTAGTCCCATGATTAAAATAATGATGAATCACACCTTCATTATATCTCATGGTATATAATGCAATACCACCTGACAATAACCCGGAAATACACCAATATCCATTCCGTTCTACATCTAATGCATATACTGGATTTACTTTTGGTTCATAACTTACCGACCCGGTTGAAAAATCACTTTCTTTTAATTTCGGATTAGATTTCATAAGTTGCGATTTCGTTACTGGTTGTTCGTTTTCCCAATATGAACAAAGTACACCTCCATTAACTAACGTATCGGAGGTGAGGTTATGTCTTTGTGCCATAGTTAAGGGTGCTTTTCCTTGGATGGAAGCTATGAAATCATATTTTCGAATAAATCCATCCTCTCCACCAGTGAGGATCCATTTGGGACCTTCGGTGAATGCAAGTGAGTGACATTGGGCTGTGTATGGGATTGCTACTTGTGGAATTATATCGAATTCAGTGGCTTTTCTGGCTCGGTGGATTACTCGTTCTCTGAAAGTAAGATGGGAATCATCCTCTTCTTCTTCTGTTGGTTTCTCTCGTGGTGATTTCGTTTCAGGTGGATGTTGCTGTTGTGGTGGGGTTGCCGGTGTTATATTCTCTTTTGTGGGTGTTTCGACATCTTTCATTTCTTCATCTTGATCTATTGGTATGGGACTGGGTATTTTCTCGGGTTTCATTTCATCTATAGTCTCCAGCAATGGTGGCTGGGGAAGTTCTTCTGTTGTTTCTTTAACTTCATCTTCTTCTAACAACATGCCTATATCTTTATCTTTATTGTCATCTATTATTGTAGAGGGGAGTTCTTCTTTATCGAGAGTCTCTTTAGCATCAACAAAGTTGTCTTCATCTTTCGAAATATGACCTTCCTCGCCACCTTCTTCTTGTCGGAGTTCCTCCCCAACCTCTACTTCTTGTACTTGATCCACACCCTCCTCTTCATCTTCGTCCTCCTCCTCCTCTTCTTCTTCATCCTCTTCTTCCTCGTCCTCCTCTTCCTCGCCTTCTTCTCCCTCTTCTCCCTCTTCAACTTCTTCTCCCTCTTCACCTTCTTCATCTTCATCCTCTTCTTCATCTTCTTCGTCTTCGTCCTCATCCTCATCTCCTTCCTCTCTCATATCTTCATCTTCATCTAGATCAGCAGTATCTGGAGCCTGTGATCCTTCTTCATCAATGTCCATGGAATAATGTTCCTCTTCTTCATGCTGTTGTTGTTCTTCCTCTTCTTCTTCCTCCTCTTCTTCTTCTTCCATATCTTCGTCGTCTTGGACATTAAAGATATCATCTTGTTCAATTGAGGCCATCTTGAAGTAGATTCACTTAGTTTCTATAATTGATGATTCTGATAATATGAGTTCTCGAGGTATTTGAATATGATGTTGATTTTATTATTTTTTTCTTCGGTTCCAAGTTGGGTAATGCGCACCGAATTATGATGGATAGATTTACTGTTAATATTGACATAAAGAAAGAGAGAGAAACAGGTAAATTAAAGAAGTTGGGAGATTCAGATCATCAGAACGTGCTGGAAGTTATGAGATAAGCTTATACCTACTCTAATTTTTTTTCAGTTATCCACTGTACATCTCTGGCCCATTGCTAGATTTTTTTTTTTCACTCTCATAAATGCACTATTGAAGTGAAGATGATGTTCCTTCCTCTGCAATTGAGAAGCTATGACAGATATATTTCAAATGGAATATAAACCACACAACCCATCCTACAAGTAACAATCCAATTGATATGAATTTACAAGAATTTATTTGAAATATTTAAGTTATAAAAAATAGAAAAAGTCCTTTTAATTAACTAAAACATTTATTCATAAATCCAACCGAATAAAGCTGGCTTGTATTCAACTAATTCTTCCTTCTTGAACCATAAAGCAATTTCCTTGTTAGCAGATTCAACAGAGTCAGAACCGTGACAAACGTTTCTACCCATGTCAACAGCAAAGTCACCTCTGATGGTACCTGGAAGAGATTGTAATGGGTTAGTAGCACCCAAGATAGCTCTACCTTGCTTGACAACATCCTTACCTTCCCAGACAGTAGCTAAGACTGGACCAGATAACATGTAGGATAATAAAGATGGGAAGAATGGCTTGGATTGTAAGTCAGAGTAATGTTCTCTTAATAAACCTTCAGTTGGTTGAACTAATTTGATAGCAACTAATTTGTAACCTCTGTTTTCGAATCTACCTAAGATAGAAGAGATTAAACCTCTTTGGACACCATCTGGCTTGATAGCAATAAAAGTTCTTTCGTCAGACATTTTGAATATAATTGGAGTTATTTGGTGAAGAAGAGAAAGAAAGAAAGAAGGGAAGAGATTGAAATTTTTCAATTCAACTGAAAATTTTTTTTTCTCCTTGAAAGCCTTTTGGTGGGCCGGGAGTGAATGAATGAAAGTGTGTGTGGATGTGTCAAAATATTGCGACCAATTATTGGTGGGATAGATAAATACAGGCATGGGCTCTAATTAATTAATTTTGTGTTAAGCATACACAAAACACACAGAATAAACGTCAAGTGTGGTAATAGTGACAAATAGGTTATTCCATACTATTAAACTTGCCACTAGTCCCAATTAGTCTGTTCCTAGTGAGTAAAAGTACATTTACGAAGAGTACGGTTGAAAAATGTGTGCGGTACCAATTGCATGAGAAAATTTCAGTCAAAAGTACACGACCAAATGACAATGGTTGCAACACGACGCTAAAACTTGCCTTGGTTTATTGTATGTACCAGTCTTCTTGAAACATTGTATTTGGAAATGTACTATGGATCTTCCTCGGCTGTTTCAATCGACGGTTATTTGGGAGTCTCTTGAATTATTGATGCAAAGGTCAAAAGCATATGCATATAAATGTATAAGAAATTTCGCGTTATTGATTTTTACAGTATAATCACCACCTTTTCAGGATTCTAGAACAACTCTTGTAACTTAGCATATTGAGAATACTGTGATACACGAAACATATGGTTGGGCAATAGAAATCTAAGTTTTGGGTGTTTAATCTGCTTATTTATCTCGGGTTGATTGATCTTCAACATGCAATGAATAACCTCAATTGCAGGTTTATAGCTAACCAATTGCAAAAATTGCATTAAGCGTGCCACGCAGTTTAAGCTAGCTTTTGGTTTGAAGAGGATAATGAAACTTAATTGAAAGAAGGGCAGTATTCATTTCTTTGTTGGTTGCTATTACGAAATATGTCACAATATGCAATGAAATTGAGTCTACACAAAATATACCCCTGTAACACCCTTGAACAATTGAAAGTTGATTTAGACATTCAATGAACAATAGTACACTGAAATCATCAACACTTCAATAAACAATTTGATGCCTAAATCAAAACATGTAAAAATAAACGCGTAAAAATATTGTACAGGTTACATTGGGAAATTTATTTACAATTTTTATTGGTGTAACCTGTAACTACCAAGTATTCTGGAAAATCCCTTTATTGTTGTTACCGTAAGTTACGCTTTTTTTTTTGTTTACAAATCGTTCAGACACAGAAAAAAATTTGCAAACTAAAATAAATAAAATTCACGCGTCAAAAAGTACAAAATCAGCAAAAAAAACAGACAGACAGACAAAAATATACAATTTTAAGATTTTGTTCAAATTCCTTCTCTTTACTTTTACTTTTCTTTCTTCTTACACCCATTCATAACTATAGCAACAATCATCTCCATTACAAACTATAGCCATTTTGCTGTTTACCAATCCTTTCAACTACTTAGTCATCGACACTACCATTGAATTAATTAACGAATTAGAGTTCAGAAAGATTATTCAAAACCAAAATAAGAACTCTGACTTAATTTTACAACAGACAGACAACATTCTCAACAACACACACTCCTTTTTCCTTGTTATATATACATCCATTGAAGGCATTAATACATTTTATAGACTTGTCTTCAAATTCGCTTTCATTAAATTGACCAGATTGAATTGAATTGATTTTAACTTACCTTGTCGTTACTGGTAAACCTACCGATACTTTAATTCCATACAATATATTTTTTTTGGCTGCCAAGTTTTCATACAAAAATTGTTGTTTTGATTTTTTTTTTTAATTTACAACATTCACAAATAGAAACATGACGACGCTAACTCAACATACTTCACATCAATTCTTTGATGAAAGTATAGCATACTCAGAACCAACTATGATTTCAGAAATAGGTCCAATTCATGATACTAGTATAAATACTACCACTCATAACAATGTTGATAAAGTTGTTCAATCAGTTACAATTGCAACCAAGCGATTATCACAAATATCAACAAATACCAATAATTCAAATAAAAAGAGAAAATCACAAAATAAAATAGGTCCATGGAAACTAGGGAGAACTTTAGGTAGAGGTTCAACTGGTAGAGTAAGATTAGCCAAAAATATAAAAACTGGTAAACTTGCCGCCGTTAAAATTGTTCCAAAAGCAAATTTCAAAAAATTAGAAAATCCTAAATATAAAAGACAAGATAATCCTGATAATAGTTTACCTTATGGAATTGAACGTGAAATTATCATTATGAAATTAATTTCACATCCAAATATTATGGGATTATATGATGTTTGGGAAAATAAGAATGATTTATATCTCATTTTAGAATATGTTGAAGGTGGTGAATTGTTTGATTATTTGATTAAAAGAGGTAAATTACAAGAATTTGAAGCAATTAACTATTTCAAACAAATCATTAATGGGATCAATTATTTACATCAATTCAATATTTGTCATCGTGATTTAAAACCAGAAAATTTATTATTAGATTTCAACAAGAATATTAAGATTGCCGATTTTGGAATGGCCGCTTTAGAAGTTAAAGAGAAATTATTAGAAACTTCTTGTGGATCTCCTCATTATGCATCTCCAGAAATTGTGGCTGGTAGAAATTATCATGGTGCTCCTTCAGATATTTGGTCTTGTGGTATTATCTTATTTGCCTTATTAACTGGTCATTTACCATTTGATGATGAAAATATTAGGAAATTATTATTAAAGGTTCAAAGTGGTAAATTTGTCATGCCTCATGATTTAAGTTGGGATGCTAAAGATTTAATTAATAAAATGTTGAAAGTAAACCCCAAAGATCGTATATCAATTGATGATATTTTAGCTCATCCTTTATTAACAAAGTATCCTGAACCAAATGTCTCTTATGCATCAACAATGACATTGGATTTGAAGAATGCCACTATTAGACCAATTGGATCAATTGATAAAATAGATAAAGAAATCCTCAAGAATCTTTCAGTTTTATTCCATAATTGTGATGAACAAACTATAATGGCCCGATTATTATCACCCAAGAAATGTCCCGAGAAGATGTTCTATTATTTATTGATGAAATATAGAAATGACCATATATCCGCCTCAAGTTCATTGAGTAGTGACATGAATGATATTGGCTCTTCGTCAAGACAATCATTACCTAGGTCCACTTCAATTGTGAAAACAACCATAGTAGATGATGAAACTGGAGAAACTTCATACACCACAACCAGGAAAATATTAACCAAATCTTCCTCCATCTATTCCAACAAATCATTATTAAAACAAGCAACTTCAAAAGCTGTTCTTGCCAATATAACCAACAAAGCCAACTCATCAAAAGCTTACGCTGTATCAACTCCACTCAATAAGAAGAAAGTCATTCATAATAACCAAGTCATCAGTAGCAAGAGTCGTAACACTTCTTCTCGTTCTTTGAAATCAAATATAAGTGGGCATACTCCTCCAGGATCAAGTGAAAGTGCACATACACCAAGCAATTCAACGAAAATTCCAAATCAACCTCCACCTGTTTTAAAACGCAGATCAACTGGATTGACCTTGGGTGATTTTGAAACTTCACCTTCGAAAAATGTGAAAACCCAACTGACTACAGCTATATTGACAAGAAAATCTACCGGATTATCTTTGGGTGATTTTGGGGATGAGATTACCACCACTTCTCCGGTGAAACAGCAACAAAACACCAAATCTCCAGTTCCAATTCAAGATCCACCTGTATTAAAGAAAAAATCTACGGGATTGGGTATGGATAAACTTGTTGTTGTTGATGATGAGACAGCAGCGTTTTCCGATCATCATCGTAAAGAGCAACGTGAGTCCAATAAACGGAGATTAACTGGTACATTTGGCAATAAATCTTTATTGAATTTTGAATTAATCTGTGACGAAGCATTTGGTGAACATAGTAAATCACAAGAAGTCAAAACTCCTGCAAGAAAAACCACAATCAAGAGAAAGAATGAAGGTTCATTAGCCAGAAAAGAACGAGAATTGGCTGAGAGAGTGCATGAAATGAATGAAGCTAGAGAACGTAGGATGAAAGCTGAAGAAGACGCAAGATTATTACGTGAAGAAAAGTTGAGATTACAAGAAGAAGAACGGAGACTTACTGAATTGAAATTGACTCAAGAACAACAAGAATTATCAGATAAACAAAAAGCAGCAATGAGCAGATTACAAAACCATCAAAGTTCTAATGATTTTGCTAATTTGTTTTCTGGTAATCGTCGTTCAGCCACTGCACCTGCACCACCTATCACTACTCACCTGTTAGATCCAAGAGCTAATTCATTATTAAGAGCACGTACTTTGGCTAATCCTGATGGTTCTCGTAATTTCGCCAGGGTTCATAATGTGAATGAAAATACTACCAGAACATTACAAAAGTTGGGTATTGATGTTGCACCTTCACCCAAGAAATTTTCTAATGGTTTCAAAACTTCAAGTTCCAAGAATTTAGCATTATATTTGAAAACTTCAACAAATGAACAAGATCAAGTTGATGATGATGCCGATATGGATAAGGAAAATATCACTCTTGATAAATTTAATGAAATTGAAGATAAGAGACATAGTAGTTCAATCTTAAGACATTCTGGAACCGCCAATACATTGAATCGTACATCTACACAATCTCATTTCAAATCCATGCTTAACGATATTGATGAAACTAGGATTGTATCCAAATTAGATTCGGTCCAAATACCAAGAGATGAAACTGAACATCAAGATCTTATACCAAATCCAAGATTTTCGAGATTTTCAATTGGTGGGTTGATATCTAATGATACTGTGACGAATGAAGAAGGTGATATTACTATCTTGCAGAATACACTTACTGGAGGTGGAACGGTTGTTAGAAGGTCACTTTACAGGAATGGAAGTATAAAGAAATCTTCCACCATGTTAGGATTGGGTATTAAAGTCAGAGAGCACGCCAAGCAAAAGTCTCAAGGGGATGATGTGAATGTAGAAGCTGGTAAAGAAGATCAATTTGAAGCTGAAGTTGAGGATGACGATGATGATGAAGAAACTGATGTCAGTTCAATTGGAACAGAATTCTCAGCAAGGACTGCTTCTTCACAACGTCGTGAAAGTAAACAAGGAGATTTGTTAGAAGTTGAATTATCCAATTATGATCTTGTGAGTTCGAGAACGGCTGAGATTGGGAAAATGAACACTGAAAAGCCAAGTGTGGTAAATTCTAAGGAATCATTGCCTTTGAGACAACAGGAGGATGATCAAGCTACTCTTGCAAGTGGTTCTCACAGCTTTGAAGAAGAAGGTCAAGAAGAGGAAGAAGAGCATAGAAGTACATTCATTGCTGAAGGAAATATACAAGATGTGGATTATTCACTTGCTGAAGAAACTGCTATGGCCGATGATGAAGAAAATGTTGGTGATACCACTCGTGAATTGGCTAGATGCAGAACTTCAACTGGTGTCTTTAGTGTTATTCATCGTTCTCCTCGGGTTGAATTAACAAAGGGTGAATTTACAAATGAAACAACAGTACCAGAAACTATCATAAACCAGGTTATTGAATTAAAGCCAGCTCAGCATACCGATTCTCCATTACCATCGCCTGCTATTGACCGCCAATCACAATTTGTGCTTGAACAAGAAGAGGAAGATAAAGAAGATGAAGAAGAATCGCCTTCAAGAGCAACCACCAGAAGAAGAAAGGTAGTTTCCATCAATGAAAAGAAAGAATACATAGAGCAACCACCATTTACTTCACCAATCACAAATGAAGAAGAACCATCAGTGGCACCTGTGATGAAACGATTTGCATTGAATCCTAAACGTTCTGCACCCAAACCACCATCTGCACCACAACAATCTTCAGATAAATGGCACGATCGATTCTCGAGAATTTCTGCTGGGTCCAAACCAGTATCCACCACAACTGAAGAAAAGAAGAGTAGTTGGTTTATGAAATTTTTCAAGTCATTAACAGGTTCATCCTCAAAGAAAGATGAATTGTCTGTTCCTGGAACGAAATATGCATCTAGAGATATTGAAATTATTGATTCTTCTTTAACTTCAGATGAATTGATCCGAGTGATTAGAACTCAATTGGAATTGAAAAAGATTGAAGGTTCTATTTCAAAAGTGGTTATTGATGAAGAGTTTGGGATAATTTCCGGAGTGATTCCATCGAAGTTTTCTGCTGGTAGAAAGTTGAAGTTCTCCTTAGAGATTATTGATTTGATTAATAGTTCTTCCTTGCATGTTATTAGAAATAAGGGGAATGATAAGGGATTCCACAATTTTGTGAATGTGGTTAGATATATTATAAGAAATGAAGAGGCTATGAATAGAAAAAGATCGTCACAAATATACAATAGATGATAAGCTTTTAAGACTACTATTTAGATGATTATTATTATTATAGCATTTTGTACATTAAAACTTAAGTAATACATTGTTACATACTAATGAATTGAATACTCTATCTACTACAATTAATTCCTTAATGCTCTTAATCTTTCTGCTAATCTATCTTCTTTCTCTTCTGAAACAGTATTTGGTACTGGAGTAGTTATTTCCACTTTAGTTTCATTCAATCCTTGTTTCATTTCAATACCTGCTTCATCGGCAACTTGATTCAACAATTCATCAACTTGCTCTTGTGGGGTAGTTAATGCATTTACATTATTAGTAGTAGTTTCATAATAATTAGTCGATGCATCCAAATCTTCAAATTGAGTTTCAAATTTATCCATAACTAACGAAATCTTCTCTAAATTCATTGTTTGTAATGCTCTATCCATACCTCTAATGACTTGGGTCATATTACCAGTGACTGATCGCATGGTAACCGCAGTTTGGACTCTAGAAGCAACTGCATCTATTCTTGAAGCCAACCTCAAAAGATTCACTCTTTCGTTGGATTTACGTATAGCGTTCTGGGCATATAATTGGGCAATGTCATTATTACCTTGAGTTAATGCTTTTTTGATTTTTGCCTTTTCTTGTAATTCTTCTTTAGCTGCTTTTGATGCTTGTCTATTTAATTGCTTTGCTGTGAATTTTAATTGGAATAATGACTGTTCTAATCCTGCCATGGTTGTATGGTTATTTGTATTGTTATATATGCTTTTATGTAATGTAATGGAAATCCTAATGATTTTTATGGAATTTCTGGAAGTGGGTTCAATCTTATCGAATTTCTTTTGTTGAATGTTACCTCGATACGGAAAAGGTGGCGGATTGGTTTGTGTCGTTGAAAAATGAGTTTGTCGTAAAATCACCAATGTGTCGCAAAGTCCATTTCATCCGTCACTTTGGAATAAGTTACATGTATTCCTAAAGTAGTGGTCGAGGATGTCGAAGATGTGGATCTCTTGAAGACAATGACTCGAGATATATGTCGCCTTATTAGTGTGGCATCAGTTAATTCACGTGAACCATATAATTATCCAAGTATCAAAAAAAATTCTGAAAATTTTTTGAAAATCCGTTATCTTTTACTCTCTTAACAGCTAGAAGTCCCTATTTATAGAAAGATATACACAGAATGTCAGCTCCTTGTAGTTGCAAGCATGCAGAAGAAGAATCCCAAAATGGGAAATTATCAGTTTTAACTCCAGAATTACAAAAGGAATTCGAAGACCCAAACCATCCAGCAAATTTAATCTGTGAATTATGTAGATTGTTCTATGATAACAACTGGGTCACAGGTACAGGAGGAGGTATTTCTATTAGAGATATCGAAGGAAAGAATCCAAATTTAGTATATATTGCTCCATCCGGAGTTCAAAAAGAAAGGATTCAACCTTGGGAAATGTTTTTAGTTGAATTACCAGATGAAAAGATTTTACGTACTCCAAATGATATTCCAAAGGAATTAACTAAATCTTATAAATATAAACCAAGTGCTTGTACTCCTTTGTTTATGAGTTGTTATGCCATGAGAGATGCTGGCGCTTGTATTCATACTCATTCCCAACATGCAGTAATGGTTACTCTTTTGTTTGAAAATCAGAAGGAATTTTCCATTAGTCATATTGAACAAATCAAAGCTCTTCCAAAATTAGAATTTAATGAAACAACAGGTAAAGTTGAAAAGGTAGGGAGTATGGAATATTATGATAAGTTGGTTATTCCAATTATTGAAAACACTCCTCATGAAGAAGATTTGACTGACTCTTTGCAAGAAGCTATTCGTAATTATCCAGGTGCTTCTGCTGTCTTAGTTAGAAGACATGGAATATATGTCTGGGGTGAAACTGTTTGGAAAGCAAAGGTTTATAACGAAGCAATTGATTATTTATTGGAATTAGCTGTTAAAATGAAACTTGCTGGTATACCACTTGTTAAGGAAGAATAACTCTTTTGATTAAAACTAGAAACATGTAAATTTATATTAAATATTTTATAAAACTCCTGTAGACGATTCTAATGTCGTGTCATTTATAGTGGATTCTTAGTTCCTTTTAAAGGTTCTGCTTTTATCATCATCCAATCTATCAGCTTGTATTTATCTTCATCAACTTCTCCAATGCATACAATTTCTCCACCTCTCATAATATAAACACCCAATGGGATCACTTGATTATCTTCATTCTCTTCTTCACTATATAGTATTCTCTCTATACAATTGCCTAATATTATATTGGTTGATTTATCATATCCTTGTAATGTTCCTTCAAAGAATCTGGCGTCAGATGTAATGACTTGTACTTTTTCTAGAAATAGTTAGTAAACAAATGATCTAACGAATTGAGAATGAAGTTTTTACATACTTTCTAAGAATGTCTTTAGATCTGACATTTGAATTTGTTTGCGAAGCAATTGATTGATAGGAGAGGGAAGAGTTTTGTTTATGCAATCAAGTAATTAATAAAACTCATCATCGTAGTGATTTTTTCGATAGGATGGTTTGTCGCGACAGGATCACCTGAAATTGGTTGCAAAAAAACCTCAAGTTCACCAGAGGATGTTATTGGAAGGTATGTTATACTCTCATTTCAAGCTGTACAAATATAGTTGCAAACAATGAAGAGTAATGTTAGAAGAAGTAATTTACATACACAAGAGACTGATTACTCTAGTGACTATGAGTCATTCCTATCCCTTGGTCAAGATAATGAAAAGGAAAGAAGGAGCACTAGACAACCAAATGATTCGACAATGTATTCCAAATTATTACTGAATGCTGCGAGATTGGAATTGGAATCTATAACTTTAAAAGAAACCATATGCGATGGATTAAAGCTAGTTAAGAATTTCCCAACAAACGATCTAACTGTTGCTATTCAGAAAGTAAATGAAATTCAAAAGGATTTAGAAACCATAAAGTTAGCTCGATCAACTGATGAAACTTCAGTTACATTAATAAACCAAGAATTGAAAGATATTAAAAATACCCTAGAGAAGATCAGCATCCCACCACAAGAGTCTTCTTCTGTTTCAAGTAAGACTAATGAGATCCATGAATCTGCTCATCATATCGAATTTCAATTGAATTCCGTGGTGCAGATTATTCGTACATTAGTTGAACACACTCAAAAGAAAGATCTTCAAATCAATCAGAAATTATACAAACAAGAACAAGCTTACTCCAAACTTTTATCGCAATCAGAATCTCAAACTAAAGACTTACAAGAGATAAAGGAATTCTTGAAATTAGCACTACCAAGAATTGTGAGTCTTGAAAATTCGTATCGACTGCTACAAACAGCTAATAATTCCGGAATCCGGCGGCTGAACACTTCCATAAATGGAACAAATTCACAAAAGAAAAGACGGCTTTTATAATTGACAATGGATCCGTCGGTGTGGAAAATTCTGTCAACGGTTTGGAACACTCATACGACGGATCATTGCCTCACAGAAAATAAAAGCTTTGCTAGGGTGCAAAAAAAAATAATGCCAAAAAAAAAAGAAATTTTCCTAAAAAGAAAGGTCAAGCGAGGCAGATTTCCGAATGTGTTTGGTCATGGTCAGATGACAAAAAATTCAGATGAGTTGTTTCAGTGCCGTTTGGGAGCGTTTAGTTTCCATTTGGAAAATATTTGGGTTGCATCGATTACGTAAATTAGCTTCAATGAAGGCACTTTCTGTGAAATGACTCATCAATTTTCCCAATAGCCACTCCAATTCATATAAATCAGTTAATATTTCTTGTCTAAAATTTTTCAGTTCATCACGCTTTACACATTGCAATTTTTATCATGTCATGACTATTTTGTTTAAATAGATAAGGATATCCTATTTTATATTTTGTAGATTCTAATCAATTCTTCTTCTCTTTTATCCCCTACACATCATTTTATTAAGGATGAGTTCGACTAAAGGTAGTTCCAAGTCGTCATTGGCTGATATCAAACAATTCGAATCTACACTGACAACAGAAAAGACAGGATTCTGGACTTCTGTTAAAGATTCATTCAAACCAGCAATCCCAACAGAAACATTAACAAGTCAGAGATATCATAAAGATGGAACAGAATTAACCGATCTTGAAAGGATAAATCTCAATTCTGCCAACTCCAATTTAAGTAGAAAATTGAAAACCAGACACTTACAAATGATCTCCATTGGGTCTTCCATTGGAACGGGGTTGTTTGTGGGTACTGGTGGGGCTTTGGCAACTGGTGGACCGGCTGGTATTATGATTG